CATTTAGGGCGGTATCCATTGCTGTAATATGATTGGCTGCCTTAGGTCACGTGGTGTGATTTTGACCAATCACGATGATACTTGTAGCAGACTGTGAAAGAAAAGCGCCATTAGAAACCAATCTTTAACCAATCAAATCGCTTCTTACAACTGTGAAAATACTCTTGGCAAGGGTATAGTGATATAGTTGATGTTCAGAGCTTTAACGATACCATTCATCAAACGAATCGCCTTCACATGTTTTTATAATGGGCTTCAAAACGGAGGTATTTCCCACTGTTGTATCAATGCTAACGAGCCGGAAAGCCAATGTTATCAGGAAATAGACGACCATACATATTATTTGAGAAATATCTTTATAATAGTTTTCCGATTGCGTAAACATGAAAAATAGAAAAGAAAAACGTAAGGGGATAATTATGACATGTTACAAATGGAAAGAATCGCTGCATTGTTTGCTTCCTTCGTGTTTTATCTGGACATTATAAATGTATAAGCTTGCATTTTCATTAAATATTAACTTATTTATGTTGTAGTTGTGTTATTTGAATAATATGATCATATCCATCTGTCATGACTGAATTAAACTATGCCAGAACATATTGTGTGTTTGTTTGTTATGATACCACACCTCTGCCAATACTGCTTGACGAAGTCAAATTAATTATTTGGTTTATTAAAGATTGAAATTTGAGGACTACCAAAATTGTGTGAGGACTAGTAGTTTGGTGAGAGTCACTAGTCCTCATGGCTAGTAGACTTTTCAAAGAGATTTCTAACCCTGTAAATGATAATCTGTCTTCTCTTCTCAAAATTGTTTTTTACTATCAATTAATATCGAATAAAGATACAGGTTTGTCACTGAGAGATTTGATTGTGTTTATTGACTGAAACATTTCATTCATTCAGGAAAAAGATTTGGCACAAGTTATCCAACTTAGAAAAGCCCTCTCCCAATAATAGGTTATGTACAACAGAAGTTAACTGAGAAAATGTTTTGTTTGAGAGAGATAGATATGTTCAGATTTGAAAACATTCTGATTTTCAGTAATTGAGAGACCTGCATTGCCATGTAAGATAAGATTAATACCAATCAGTGTTCTAATTTTAACAATATTTTCAAAAGAGTGTAATAGTTTTTGTCTTTGAATAGTATGCAATGGACATTCAAGGAAGTAATGAAAAACATTTTCACATCCATGGCCACATTGACATGATGCGTCATTTATATATTTATTCTAAATAATAAGGCTGTAACGATTCACTCACATATTCGAACCGTAGCCCTTCATGAATTCAATTCGTTATTCGTGGTCACCAGAACCGAATATTAACAAATATTTACGATTTTTTTAAGGGGGCATGTTTTACTTGAACCCTTGTGTACTTTTGGAAAGTGAGATATACAAGGATTGAATATGTACTAGCATTGCGGTAGCTCAAGTCATGTTAGTTTTCCAAGACTGCACGTGGTACTGTTGACTATAACTATTACATACCAAATTTGAGTGTCATGAGATCACTGGTTATTGCTGTGACAAATCAAAACTGTCAACATGGGCGTTCCATATTGTGCATCAGTCACTAACTACAATATTGTATTCGTAAATAAATAATTATTCGTATTTGTTACCTAATATTCATGATACGTATCATATTCTCCACATAGTGTATTCGTTACAACCCTACTAAATAAATCATAATTAAGTGTAGTCGTCCTTTATCTTATTCTTGTGTGCCAAACATTTAACATCTTTATTCCATATGAATAATATTTAGATGTACAGTTTTTGTTTTCACATGGATATAAGATTTAAATGATGTATCAGAGTCGCAATTATTCCACATTTTAACTGCTGATGGAATAAAAGATGATGTTGAGTACTTCAGTCTTGTACATGGTTGGCTAAAATCATCGGAGTTTCTGAACTCATAGCTTGTCCGGTTGCCTAGTACAGGTGGGTGTAAATTCTGAAGAAAAACTGGTGTTGTTCTATTTAATAGTATTTTGTATATAGATTTTTTCTTGTGTTTTTATATGAACTATTCTATTATAATGTGTAGGTAACAGGTAGTAGCTAATATGTTCATTGAACCTTAAATGTTGTTTTAAGGCATCTGCGAACTGCCTGTCTGTGTAGTGGGAGTAGTGGGAGGACACCCTTGATATAGCTTGGATATGGATGTCATATAACTACAGATATCATACAGCTTGGGTCTCATATAGCTGGGATACTGGGATATCTGATATACTTGATATAGCCTGGCTATGGATGTCGTATAACTACAGATATCATACAGCTTGGGTCTCATATAGCTGTGATATCTGATATACTTGATATAGCTTGGATATGGATATATTCTATCGGTTTTGTATAAATCTGTTGTTACTGCGGTGGATTGGGTTTGATATGACCAGGATATGGAGGGGATGCAATAACTAGAGTAAAGCATCACTCCCTCACTTCATAAATTTTCATTTCTGCAATTAGGACCAAACAAGTGCAACATGTGGAAGGTTTATGCACCATTAAATTTTAAGCATGGATTACATTTCAGTATTGTTGTCTTTCTTCACTGGTAGGGGCTTTGTTTCAATATGTTGCTGCTAGACCAGTTGTATTGAGTTTTAACTGTTATCTGTCTACTGGGAGTGCAGCATCACGTTGCTTCTAGCTGTAGCTTAATCTTCTGTCTAGACAGGATCCTAATCAGATTACAATTGGATTGGTGTAAGTTTGTATGTACAGTGGGTGTTTCCTATACCTTAATCATATCTGCTGTTTTCTTAAGTCATTATACAGCTTTACCTTGTCTGATTGTCTTTCACTGTTGGTGCAACAACGTATTTACCATACTGTCAATACAGCACTGCAGGGATATAACTTAGGTTATCACACCACCTGGGGATTGATACATAACGAAATTACCAATCACACCTCTGAGGATTTTCAGCCTGTGTCTTTAGTCAAGTGTTAATCCATGGCCTTTTCATGTCTCTGAAACATATTGTTGTTGCAGATAACTTTGTGAAATTGTCTTAGCCATAACCTCCTGGAGAGGTTTTTTCATCAAGCCATATATGTTTAAAAGTAGTTTTTCCTTAAACAACATGTATGTTATAACAGATTTGCCTTAAAATGTTCCCACTCGCTTTTGAAGGAGACAGGTTTATTTCTCTTATGGTTTTGAAGATACCTTGGTAGACAGAAAACAAATGAGGTATTAAACTGGATACTGTTTTAGTGTTCTCATCAAATTGATAAGACCCAAAAACTGATCCCTGTTTAAATTCAAAAATAGTTTTGTCCTATATTGACTAATTTTGCTGGATGAACACGATGTACAAGTGGCAGATTATGGTTTAAACATATTTTTATTCATTAGAATGAATAGGGATTGGTGAACAAACTTTATAGCTTATCTTAACACTGCTCCCATTATTTAACAGCATATAATACAAAATGAAATGAAGGATGGACTTCAGCGATATTGACTATCATGTATACATATTATATGACACTATACTATTCTCTAAGTAAACTTAAATAGAGAGTTACATTTTTTCGTGTATATAGGGTTTTACACAGACTTTGAAAAATGGGAGTCAAGAAGACCCAGTATTTATTTTTGGGAGACATTTTCAATATTTGGGAGTCATGAAGATTTTAGTGGTGCTTTGTGTAAATAAAAGCAATAGTTTTGGAAAGATTTTGCTGTTTTGTATTGTATTGTCATTTACATGTATATGATTAGTTCATAAATATTATTATTGTTTGCTTATCAAATCGATTTTATTGAACTGAAATCTGAGGGTCACTCATAAAACTTGCGTCAAATGTGACTTGTATGGTAATATTTTCAGAGTCTTTCAGAAAATTGTTGCGTCAAATACGCTGGAATCACGCGTCATGTAACATCCTGTGTCTAACAATTATACTACCCATGATTCTAGATTTCACCATGATTTGAGACTTACACTTTTTCTGGGTTTCCCGACGCATCATACTGTCGTATAACTGATGAATGAAATACTGTCAAAATGGTTCCTTATTCATGTTCAAACACAGATGACTTTTTTAAACCATGTTCAGAAAGAATAATCTTAACCTTTGAACAACCTTTGTGATTGGTCACTATTGAACCCAAGAGAAGCATGTTGTTGTGTACCTGATAGTCACTTCCTATGGGCTTTATCCAATGGCTGTGATGGGTGTTATGGTAAAAGATCAGCAACTGCTTGTCAGTGTAATCCGCCAGCCCGTTAAAACCTCTTATCACACTTCTATAATGTTTATTGAGGCAACAGATTATCCCTCGTGCTTAACAGAGCCCAGCACCCCCCCTTCCACCCTCATCCCTTCAATGTAGATGCAAATTTAGATTTGGGTTCAATAGCTGCCCTGTGGGATAGATGTGTATCTCCCTTCAAGTCTTTTTGTGATCTGTTTGTGGAAGTAATTTGTTAATTGCCGTTGACAACCTCACAGAAATGTGCTGAGTCTTTTTCAGCCTTTCATGTCTTGACCAACTGTCTATCCTGTTTGTGTCTAGATCTTTTGAAGTCACAGTCGTAACTGTAACACGTATCTACTGGTTTGTTTCATGTTAGATAATATCAGATGAAGCCCAAAGTTTAACTTCCAAAGCTACAAATTTCTCAAGTTTCTAATTGGAAACAGTTTTTATATCTTTCAAATATCTAAAATCCAATTATCTGGAAAATCATTTGACAAATGAGAAAGAGACCTCTGGGACAGAAAAGCTATTTTCAAGAAATTTGATTTAGGCAAGACACATAAAGGAACAACATTCTCATTTCTGGTAAGTCTTTAAAAAACTTTCCATGACAATAATCAATAAAGTTTCCCCACTGGTAATATCAAGAGTCCACTGAAATGACTGAAAGGGAATAAAAATAACTTCAGCGCAGACAAATAAGTTGCAGTGTATGGTCTACTCTCTGGATCTACTTCTATAAGCTCAAAAGCACAAAAAGAACAAAGTGACCCAGTCTGTTGCTTACCATAGGTCTACTTTGATGATGAAGACCCTCACCTAGGCTTATCCCCACCCCAGGCACACCTCTCCCACCCTGAGGCTTTTGGAGGTCTCAATCAGCTGTAAGATTACCCTCTCTCTGATTGCTTGTGTGGAGTACAAGTTATCTCCATTACGCCACAAGCTGGGAGATGTTTGTGTTGGCTGTCTGAAGCTGATTGCTAGCCTGCCTGCTTGGTGAGGTAGCAGTCCACAGTGAGCCGTTAGACCTAGCCTGGAGGTGGTGGTGGCCAGGCTACATATAGAGGCGCGTGGGGACACATGGCATTTGAGTGTCTGACCTCACGGATACCCTGATATCAGATGCTTACTGACAACCAGCATCACATATCTACCTGCATCTACCTTGTCCGTCACTGGCATAACTAGCAGCATGAGCAGAGCAGAAAGGTGAGATTGTGTTTGTTAAACATGCAGTTGTGATATTGTGTCATACCTTCTCTGTCACATACTTGATCAGTGTGGGATATCTACAAAGGCAGGTTGAGACAGGTGCTTGTGATTGACAGTGTTCAAATTATCATTAGCACTAAGAGGTCCTTCTTATGACTCTAATGTGATAGCTTCAGTATTTATGCTGGGTTGAGAGTGTCTTGATTCTAAATAGTGTGACAGAAAATCTCTAGAACACTAGGACGTCCTATATTTCCTACACCTATTGATACCAGGAATGTTTAGCATTTACAATCATTGTCAGTGTTGAACCCGAGCCAAGATATCTCTTTGATGGTTTTATCAAATATCAAAGTTTAGTGTTTGAGGTGATATGATTGAGGGAGCGGTGAGAACCAAGTGGGGCCTGTAGTGACAGAAGGGTGCTTGCTGGTAAGGTCAACAAAACTCATAGCGTTGAAATGTAGTCACTTCTCTAGTGTACAGTAGTGTTTATACACTAAACACACGTTCATGGTCCTCATATATCCTTGGTTTGTTGTGTGTGCAACATTGTTCAACATGTAGTTCACTGCCATTGTTTGTATTAGGGCTTGACATTAAGTTGACACTTAGCATCAATGACATGTCACTTTGTTTGGTAAAATGTTTGGAATCTAATGTAATAATTAGTTTCCCTTGAGTATGTCAAGGGAACCCACTATTCTCTGAAAAATATTTAATTCTCTCCAAATCATTTCCTATCCCACTTAATTTAAAGATCAAATCATAATATTCCTGTAGAATCTGGCTGATAGCATGTCCCATTCCACAAGGATAAAACTTACCTTAACTGTCATTCACTTGCTCTTGCAGAGGAAATTTTTTATTCCATTTAAATGTAATGCCCTCGAATGTGAATCATCAAAACATTAACAAAATATTATTGTTTATGAACTACTTTAATAATAATAATGTGCCCATGTATATAATGCCAAACTCCACACCAGGTTAGTAGCGCTCACAATGAATCAGAGAGCTAATCATAGCACAGCACATTATTACCCCGCATAACCCGAGCTGCCTGTGAGGCACTAGAAGGTTAATAGTTACATGACCTATCCCACCTTATGTAAATAATAACTACTTTTCTGTTGACAAAGGTACTGAAAAAATGTCTTGACACAATTGATATTTAATACTGTAAACAAGGACCAGACAGTTCTACATGTTCACTATTGTACCATTACGTCATGTGTTCTGTGTAATACACAACTGATAGTGATAGGTGAATTGTACTCATGTACAGGTAGATGAGAAAACAGATTTATTGGTTAGAATCTAGATGTATCCTGCACGTTGATGAAGAGGTTCGAATTTCCCTGTTAAATTCTGTCAGACTGACAATTGGCTGTTGGATTGAGATTTGTGTAAATACAGAGTACCGTTTACATCAGTTTACAAAAAAACATTCATGAACGCTGCATGGATAAAGTATGAACTGGATCTATTGATATTTAGGTACTTATTCATATACGTTTTACTGACTGACTGAGTTTGGTTTTACGCCGCTTTTAGCAATATTCCAGCAACATCACGGCGGGGGACACCAGAAATGGGCTTCACACATTGTACCCATGTGGGGATTCGAACCCGGGTCTTCGGCGTGACGAGCCAACGCTTTAACCACTAGGCTACCCCACAGCCCCCATATAGGTTTTAAGTTGTTTCATGTACTTATACTGTGTGTGAAATTTATGCTGGTCCCTGTGGTCCCTGACTAGTAAAAATTCATTAGGACCACTAAATGATAAGTTTGCAGTGGTCCTGGTGGCCAGTGAATTTTGTAGTTAAAATCTCTGAGTGTTATTTTGGACCAGTACAGACATGACCACTAATTACTGTCGACTCACTGGTCAATTGGTCTAGTGGCAAATTTTGAAAGATTTCTTTCCCTGCTTATATGAGTTCACTACGTTCACATCCTGTTGATGTTCTCAGGTAGAATGATGAAACTTGATCCTGCTGCACTCAGGGGAAACAATCATTTGTCCCGGAGTAGATCAGGTTCCATGGTAGCCATGGCATTGTGCATGTTGCTAAAGCATGTCTTTATCATCAGGAAAACTAAAACAGGGTTAAACAGATTGTATCATCCTATCAAGTGACGCACTTCTGTGTGAAGCGATATCTGTGATTTTGGATATATTTAGATCATGGAGAAAGAATGTGTTTTTAGTGCAGTTTATTTCTCACAGGTGTGTTTTTAGGTTGCTTAGCAATGTAGTTTAGCCAAGAAGAGGATGCTGAGCTTGTGAAAGAAAGTCCCAGAAAACATTATTTCAAAGATATATATGTATGAAATTTTGAAATAAAGAAACTTCCAAATGGAGCCAAGAACATTGCTTCACATTGCTTCACATTGCTTAGATTTGCTTAATTATTCTAGACATGAGTTGGATTAATTTCATAATTTATTCTGTGTTGCCTGGGAGACTGACCATGTCACCATGACTGTATTCAGTCAAGGATCATCTTTCAAGCATGTCAGGGGGCGGTGGGGTAGCCTAATGGTTAAAGTGTTGGCTCGTCACGCCGAAGACCCGGGTTCGAATCCCCACATGGGCACAATGTGTGAAGCCCATTTCTGGTGTCCCCCGCCGTGATGTTGCTGGAATATTGCTTAAAGCGGTGTAAAACCAAACTCAGTCAGCTTAATTATTCCAGACATGAGATGGATTAATTTCATAATTTATTCTGTGTTGTCTGGGAGACTGATGTAGTCAAGGATCATCTTTCAAGCATGTCAACCTGAGTCAGCAAAGTAAAGTAGATTGTATGTTTCCGACTTGCCCTGTATAGGGGTGTATCAATGGTGAGTGAATGTAGGTTGTCGACACTGCATTCAGCAGTATTCCACCTTTATGATGGTGGTCGGTGAATGATCAAGGTCAGACCAGACAATCCAATGATTGACATCATGAACAAGAGTTGAGAAAACATGTGTGACCGAGTCAGCGAGTCAAACCACCCAATCCTGCCACCTCATAAAAGATAAGCATGGGTTTCTGAACACCAGTTCTAACCTGGTTCTTATGATTTTACATGAATAAACATGATTTTAATAGCTTTGCATGTTCAAGGTTTACCAAATTAACGAAAGTCCAGTGACTTGTGGATTTCCACTAAGACCATTAAATATTTGGCAGATTTTTAGCTGGTTATTTTATTGTTTCGGTGAATTGATGAACTAGATTAATTCAAAACCAGAATTATCTTAACAGTAGACTTGTACAATGTAAAATATGAAAAGATCTTGATTTTGAGTAGGTGAGGTGTCTGTATGAATTGAATGACATTGCATAACATTTTGTCAAAGCAAGTTTTGGCCAGACAGGATATATGTGGTACTGTGTACAAGAACAATGGCACCAGTGAGGTCTGTTATGACAGGGACCTTGCCACCTGCACCAGTTGTTGTCAGACAGCCATCAGTCATGTATTGACTGACAGGTGCCTTGTCCTCACTCTGTGTAAGGTCTGGCTGGACCATCATCACCCTGTCTGGCAGTTCCTGGTGAGATTCAGACAGATCAGTTTGGTGATGGAAGGTGTTTGGGAGCTGCACACATCAGTATTGCCGTGTTGATGAGGTAAAGATATTGGATGGAAGGTATTTTGTAAGACAAGCTCTTGTCGTAGGTCACAGGTTGTAAGTGATGAAATGTCTTTTCACAGATAGTTTTCATATGATGATTAATCACTTGGACTTACTATAACTTGTCCAATCCATAGTAACTTATTCAAATGATAATGTAATTCGAATATTTTGGGATCTAATTAGAAAAACAAACATTTTGTATGAATGAGTTCTGCAGTAGGTAAACAAAGATGGCGCTTAACTTGGTGCCGCTGTTACAATACTGTGCATGAGGGCCCCATATTGTGTTTGTTTATGCATGTTTCTTTTCAAAATCACAGCACGACTTTCACATCACTGGTTTGTGTGGCACATATATTAAACTACTGTGTGTGCCAAGACATATCCACAAGACCTTTAGAGACTGGTGTGCGATATAACCTAAGCTGTACATGTGTTTTGCTGCCTATACAATGCATACCGAACCATGATATATTGACATATAATGCTTGTGCCACACTGTTGATAAAGCTTAGGTTTTTGTACCTTGTGTATGAGACCCAGATGATAACAGCACCTGGATGTTGCACTATCTCGGAGCCACGCACTGACATAGTTGTGTAATATGGGTTCGGGGTAGCAGGCCATCCTCACATAAAACGTAGGGCTGGGGAATAAAATCTGTTTCAAATCTGTGTCTTTTTATAGCTCCCAGTTCTTTCTCAGCCTGTTTGCTGGCAATGAAAGACGATCTCTCCCTGGAAGGTAGATATTGTTTGTTATTGCATAATTGACATCTAGTGCCACTGAACTCTTGTTATATAGAAAATGATTTTCTATTTCCTGGATAGTTATTACAGATAAATGTGTTTTGTTTCTAACTTCCTCTAGTCATGTAAAATAATAACTTGTCTAGCCTAACCTATTACTGGTTAAGTTGTAGTAAATCTTGCCTTGTGTGGTTAAGTTGTCGTAACCAAGGGTGATTTCTGCAACAAGACTAGGTAGATCAGGCATCTTGCATGCACAAAAATACCAAAACATGGAACTATCCAGTTGTGTGTGAATGTAGGTGTGTAAGTATGTGAATGAGTGTTTGTCCTCATTGAAAAAAACTTCTTCCTATAAACACCCATGGAAACACACTAGTATTACATGTACATGTACCCTGGGTGTGAGCTACCCCATATGTAACAAGGAATGAGGAAATAAAATATGTAAAACAAAACAAAAATACTGAAACAAAGGAAAAAGAAAGAAAAGTCATGTAATTTAAATGCATTTGATATTTTGCAGCTTATTTATTATCTTTGCATTTAAGGTCAAAACCTTATTTCAATTGCCTTTGTTTTGTCTCTTAATACAGTTTTGACTTGTCACTTTTCACAGTCAAAACATGAATTTGAGAATTCCCCCATAACTGAACATAATAACATCAATACAATATGGTTCCTGATATATATTGCATGACAACAAACATAGCACATGATATCAGGGAAGCCACAGGTAAGTGAAAAATATTTTTTCATGGAATTTGAACAAGTCAGGGAAAGTCGATATTCAGGAAGAAGTCAAGGATACCTTTTTCTTAGAGAACTCTCTGTTGTATTAAGTAATCTTGCTGTACTACCTGGGAAGACAAATGTCATCTATTCACAATTGCATGGATCGTTGCTCATGCTGTTGATCACTGGATTGTCTCGTCCAGACTAAATTATTTACAGACCGCCGCCATATAGCTGGAATATTGCTTAGTGCGGCGTAAAACTAAACTCACTCACTCACTCTTGCTGTAGTTTATTAATGTTCTCACTAGCCAAGAAGTTGTAATGAAACTATTGTCCATCCTTTAAAATACCCGCGAAGATCCGGGGTAGAATAGGTCTTCAGCAACCCATGCTTGCCACAAAAGGTGACTATGCTTGTCGTAAGAGGCGACTAACGGGATCGGGTGGTCAGGCTCGCTGACTTGGTTGACACATGTCATCGGTTCCCAATTACTTCTTTTGCGTCGTGCTCATGCTGTTCATCACTGGATTGTCTGGTCCAGACTCGATTATTTACAGACCTCCGCCATATAGCTGGAATATTGCTGAGTGTGGCATAAAACTAAACTCACTCACTCACTCACTCCTTTAAAAATGTTCTTTTGTTTAGTTCTTATGTACATCTTTTACTTCAAAGTTAAGAACTTATTCCTCTGTTTGTTTCATCCCTCAATATGCTAGTCTTGCTATTCATTCTCTAGACTATCGCTTAGTCTCTGAATACAGTATGTATAATTTTGATCATATGTAATAAACCCAATAAACTGAAAAGGAGCCCCAGTCGGATGGAATCTAGACTTGCTTCATTTAGGACTTTAGTATTGTAGGGAGGGCTAAGCAGTATAGAAAATAATGTGGTTCAGGGACTGTGAGACAGACTAGTGTCAGTTCCATGTTAGTGTGTATGCTGTTCATGGTTTATGTTGAGTACAGTGAGTGGAACAGGAGGACAGGGGCTGTTGTTCAGTTACGGTCCGTTTGATTTCATTTAAGACCGATGAATTGCTCACTAACACAAAATCTAACAATTGCAACAAAACGATCATTATTTTGTTGTCACTTTTCGCTATTTTGTACCAGGGGATACCACTTGCTGGTAGAACAGCCAGGTATTTACCTAAACGATCACGATACGATAGCGATATTGATCAAAAACGGTATTTTGACTTATGCTTTGGAAAACTTAGTAACACCGATATCTTTGGATATATCCTTGTTTCATTTGTGTCAAATATTATTTACATATTTTTGTGTCATGATTAAAAGTTGTTGTTAAATTTAATCAAGCATAGTTATTTTGTTGTGTTTTTATGCTATAAATCAAGCATTAACTCGATTATAAGTAGTTTTGTTTAAAATACTTCTTGCAATATATTGTAACACATATCTCAATATATGCTTTAGCATCGCAAAATATTGCAATATGAAAATTCCCTGCAATACCCACCCCTAATGTATATTAGTGTATTAGTTGTATGAAATTTGCTTTGTCATTGCAACACAAGTATATAGTTTCATTTTCAGAGGTTGTGTATATCAGAATGCATTCTCACTCTGTTCAGCATGTTATGCAATAAGTAGGTCAACAGCTCCAGGGTTGGAGATGTAACTGGTTTCACTGCAAGCTCTTACTTCCTCCTTGTCATCGGGTTTTGTGCAGTGTGAAGCAGGTCTTATTTGTGTGATAAGTGACCTTGAAGAAAGATGCTTGATATTGTCAGTTGTTGGCCTTAACCTGCTTTGTTTCATGTTGAAGAAGACAAATCTGTCCTGATTGTGTCCAATCCGATTGTCCCCATTGACTTCAGTGACACAGGTCCAGTATCACAATGTGTCAGCTCGGGGTTGCTTGGCTTATCAGTAAATAGTTTCACATTGAATGTCAAGGTGACATTCAGTCTGTTTCTTTTAAGATTCTTTTTGTATCAATTAGTTGTTGAGTAGAATTCCAGAATCATTTTAGTGATCCTAATTAAGGGTTCTTACGGTTTATGTGAATTGAAGGTCTCCTTAATGCTGTTAACATTTGGTTTTTAAAATTAGGTTATGACAATGACCCGTTGACTTTCATGCTTATTTTTGAACACAGATCTTCGTTAGTGTTAATAGTATGTCAGCCTCATACCTGTGCTCATTGGTTGTAGCAGTTGTGTGTAGACAACGCATACAAGTGTGGAAGATAACTCTGGCTGTTTTTCACTCACTCACTCACTCTGTGGCACAGTAGAATGAACATGTTTCATTTTATACCATCAGTTGACCTGTTTAACCTGAGAAAATATGTGGAGTTCTGATTAATGCTCTCTTTCAGAAAAAATGATCGATCCAGAAAGTGAAATTATGATGGATGAGATTTGACACTATATCTTAGGGCTAAAAGTTTTGCATATTTTGCATTAATTGTTACTATAAATCGGGAAGTGGGTAGCCTAGTGGTTAAAGCGCTATTCGTCACGTCAATACCGGTCTGGTTCAATCCCCACATGGGTACATTGTGTGAAGCCCATTTCTGGTGTCCCCGCGAGTGATGTAGCTGGAATATTGCTAAAAGCGGCATAAAACAGCAATTCAGTCAGTCAGTCAGTCAGTTACTATAAATCATGACTGTTGGGTGACCTATTTCATGTATGTGAACCAGGTCAAGTAGATGCAGGAAGGAGTCATCATCATGGTTAGTGCTGTTTTTACCTGACATGACACAAGTTTGAGGGGCCACATAACAAGACAAAAGCAGATTTCTTTTCAAGAGTTATCATATTTTCAGTTTGCCCTCTACCCTATAGTTATGGGGATGAGGATGCATCCATAAACCATCGCACAAAAAACAAGGCTCCATGGTTACAGAATGTGTTGTTTGTTTCATTTATGATGAGAATAACAGTACGCGAGAGTGTATGGAAGTGATCGTGTCTTGACGTTGTAATGCCAGTGGGCTGTGTATGATGGTGGCAGCCACTGCTAGACCTTAGCACCTGATGCTGTCAGGTTAGATAAGACTCAGTCTGTATTTCTGTACACACTGCCGATGACGATAGACGAGTGTGTTGGCATGCAACAGGTAGCTTGAGGGAGGTATGCTAAGCTCTCTTGCTGAACCTTCTCCCTTCTAACTGTGGGAAAAAAGGTGACTGCTTAGATTTAGAAAACAAAAATAAGCCAGTTGAAGCTGGTGATTGTTACCATATGCTGTTTGATGATAGATGTGAATACCAGCACTCATCTGTGAACATTTCGGCAGGCAATGTTTATGTATTTTTCCACATTCCTCCCAAATATCAATTTCAGCTGACTTGCTTTATATCTGTGTCAGTGATTACTAATGATGTTGGTTTTTAAAAAAATCATGATAAACTATGATAAAATTCTCAAAATATCAGCATATAAATTGCAAATGTCATCGCAACCATGGTTACTGAATTATTGTCATTGTCAGTGTGACATGTTTGGAAAGTGCACACATGGTATATGTATTATTGCTTTGAATGGCATTTTGGAAGTTTATTAGTTATAATAAAGGCAAGATGCTTACTGGATGGCATTATCGCAGGATATTTCACTTTTGCTTTACTTTACAATGGCATAAGAATCTATACCAAAATAAATCATAATGTAATTGAGAAATTGTCATCTATAAAGCATCTTCCCTGACTGACAGACATTGACAAATAGTATAAAATCCAAAATTGTTTACCGTGATGACCCCAAAAAGTATCAGTATTGTATTGACAGCCTGTCAGTACAGGTATGCTAATGCTGCTAAACTATAAATTATGAGAAACTTTTGAGACCTAAGACATGTAATTTATAAATTTTTAAGTAACTGGAACTATCACCTTTGATCTGTTGAATACCACTGAAGTTTGGAATCATGTATTATCAACTAGAAGTGTTCTCACAAATGAATGCACAATGTCAGCTTATGTTGATTTTTGGAGCAGAATGAAGTACCCCATGCTCATTAACACTGGACTAATGAGGTCAGGAAGCTATCAGGTGTGTCGTGTATGTTTCTGTGCCATTGTTCCCCTGTAGTTTGGGTTGTTTAAGTAGCTGGAATAGTGTGGATTGTTGGATAAAACAACATTCTTTCACTGAATACCACCAGGCTCCTATTAACTTCTTTCTCTGTTCCATGATTACAGGTTCCAGATTTGTGCACATTGTATTGTGTATAGTAACAAATACCTCGACAGGGAAACAAAGTACAGTGAACGTGTTGAACATGTCTGCTTGTCACTTTTAATATTATATTCTTTCAACACTGGCAATTATACAGTACCTCTGTTTAGTTGACCAAAATGATGCAGATTTGAAAATCGTGAGAAAGAAGAATTTTTTATTGGTTTTAATTCTGAACCCTGTCCATGGTGATTTTGACAGTGATTGTCTTCTGCCAGTCAATGGAGTTGCTCCCTTTGTTGATGGATATATTTCAGAGATTTCAATCCACAGTCTCAGACCTACTAATGAAAACTGACTGACGGCATAAAAAATGTCCTGTGTTTACAAAGTGCAAAGAATCTTCAGCAATGTTGGTTAACATTTGATTGCTGATTCCATTTGAATGATTGTCGATATATATTATTTGGTCAGTTTCATCAGCAGGTTTGAGCCTGCCTGTTCCACAGTCACAGGTTTCAGAACACTGACAATAACTCACTCTCCCTCACTCACTCACTGGTAAGGTCACATGGAGCACATGAGCTTGGGTGGATTGTGCTTATTACTAACAGAGCGTGCATCTTGTATTTTTCAGAGCAAAGAAGACTCCTCAGCTTGTTTTGGCATGGCTTCTTCAGCTCTCAGCTTGGGAGGAGGTGAAGGCCGGGTGGGTCACCAACCCGGGGTCACACAGCTCTAGTATGCCTCAGAATCCTCCTGTTCCTCTGCTAAGGACAGCCTGCCCAACCACGCGAGAAAGGCACCACCAATCCCGGCCAGCCCTCCAAGAGGAACCACTCCCACAAGTCCCCAAGGCCAAGTTCTGAGTACCATTCCTTTACGTGGTGCATCTGCTGCGCCACCAACAAATAGAAAGATGTCACATGACTCTGTCACAGAGCGTTTGAACCTTGACATGACATCAACACATACCCACGAAGAAAAGAATTTATGGAAGGACAGTTTCAAGACACTGTTAGAATTTTATGAGAATGGACAGTTGTGTGATGTTGAAATTATTGTTGGAGAGAGGTCATTTAAGTGTCATCGAACAGTTCTGGCATGTGCCAGTTTGTATTTCAGGGCAATGTTCATGTCCGGAGATGGCGGAAAGTAAACAGGAAACCGCCACTATCCATGACATTGATGCTCATGCAATGGAGAAGCTCATCCAGTTTGCGTACACTTCGAAAATAACCTTGACAATAGACTCAGTCCAGCAGCTTCTGCACGCCAGCCATCCATACTACAGATGGAGGCAGTTGCTCAAGCGTGCTGTGACTTCATGAAAACTCAACTAACCCCGTCAAATTGTATTGATGTGCATAACTTCGCTGAACAGCATAATCGTGTTGAACTAATGAAGACAGCCACGGACTATTTGTTAAGTCATTTCTTGGAGGTTGTGGAAGGTGGAGAGTTCAAGGTCATGAACAAGAAGTTGCTGGAGAAGTTGATATCTTCGTTTGATCTGAATGTTGAAAATGAAGTACAAGTTTATGAGGCTGTGATCAGCTGGGTGAAGAACGACCTTGACACTCGATGTGAGTTTCTGCCGAGTTTGCTGGAACATGTAAAGCTGCCCCTGGTCTCGGCCACATACCTGATGGAGACCGTGGAGAAGGAAGACCTGATGAGGAACAGTCTTGCATGTCGGGACTTCCTGGATGAGGCCAAGTATTTTCGCATGTCACAAGTCAGCTTAGTACCAGGGGTCAAGGTCACTCCTCGAACCAGAGAGAGAAAGAGCTATTCGGGTTAGTATTGCTAATACAGACTCTCTAATGCATAAGAGTAGGTTTTTCCAATGTATTTCCAAATATTATCAATTTCCAGTTGATGATATTCTGATAAGTATGGTATTTTGTTTTAATTTGTAACCATGGTAACATATCTGTATATCTGTGCAGGTGTGTTGTTCTGTGTGGGAGGTCGTGGAGCTACTGGGGATCCCTTCAAAAGTATTGAGGTCTATGATGTCTGCCGCAACAAGTGGTTTCACGTTGCAGAGATGCACACACGCAGACGCCATGTTGGTGTATGTGCTGCCAATGGTAAGTAGTGTTTTGTGTCGTAGAGTTGTTTATGAAACAAGTTGCTAAAGGATTAGTCTTGGTGCGTCAGTTTTTATGCAACAAATTTGGCTTGTGTCTTGGAGAGTCAGTATTGGTTATGATACAGTTGTGATGTAGAACATATGAGGTAATGTCATTCTTCAGGACAATTACAATACCTGAAACATGTGAAATAGTGGTAAAGGTGTATTGCAGACTATCTGCGGGTTTTTAAATTATTTTTATCTCATTCCGGTTACACTGTCCCATGAAGACCATTTGAATAGCTGATACATCAAGTTGATCGTGACCTGTCAGTGGTCACCATGGTTTTTGCCTGATGTGTTACATGTGATGTGCATTTGTCCAGCATTAGAACAATCCCCAGCCTCTCCTATAGAGGCAATACAGGATCTGATCATCAGGAGTTAGTGAGTGAGTGAGTTTGGTTTTACGCCGCTTTTAGCAATATTCCAGCAATATCACAGCGAGGGACACCAGAAACGGGCTTCACACATTGTACCCATGTGGGAAATCGGACCCGGTCTTCGGCGTGACGAGCGAATGCTTTAACCACTAGGCTAACCCACCACCCCAGGATCATCAGGAAGACTGATTGTTTAGTGTGTTATCACTGACAGTATGGGTGTGCTCATAGTATTAGTCACTGGATTATTTGTTTGTCTCCGCCATACAGCGAGGTGTTACCTAGCATACAGACAAACCACATGTTTCAGGTGTGTTGTACGCTGTTGGCGGACATGATGGCAATGAGCATCTCAGTAGTGGAGAGGTTTTCGACCCCAAGACCAACAAGTGGAAGAAGATAGCACCCATGAGCACACTCAGGTAAAATAGCCTCTAGTATCATAAACAACAGAATAGATGTACTGGAACAAGATCGTTTTGTGCTCCCTCACTCACAAATATACAGGATATTTTTGTCCTCGCTGCATGTTTTAAGAACTGTAATGGTATTACATGAGCAATATTGTTTGCTGTAGTAGTTTTAAATTATGAATAGAGCTTAGTTACTCATAGAGTCCTTGTGTGTAAGATTGAGTTATATAGCTGTCACCTTTATATAGGACAGTGTGAATAATGAAGCCTCCCTTGTTTTCAGACGAGGTATAGCGCTATCGTGTTTGGGAGGACCTGTGTATGCCCTTGGTGGCCTGGACGACTCCACCTGCTTCAACACTGTGGAGCGGTACGACCCCACCACCAACAGCTGGACCCAGGTGGCCCCCATGAACATACCCAGGGGAGGTGTGGGTGTAGCACCCCTCAAGGTGAGGCCTTGGGACACTTGTTAGAGAAAGTCTATCGCTGTATGAGATGTCATTAGTTTGTACATAGGCATCTCAATATGTTCTCAGTAATAGCTGGAAGATTTGTAGTACATACTATATGTCATGTTTGGTATCAGTGGATTGTAGCAAATATTATGATGATGATTCGTGTGCTCTTTATGTTGTTGCTGTGTTAGGAGGAATGGGTTGTGCAAAACGGTTATGGTTAACTTTCTTACAATACATTGAAAAACATATATGCATATGAGGACCATATTTGGCACAAATGTGACGTGAAGAACATAATATTCCTACATACAGTAAAAATGATCTAATAGCATAGAGAATGGCTGTTTCTGAATGAAAGTTTTTTGTTTGAGTTTACATTTTCCTTGGGATTAGAATACTTCAGCTAATAGTTTGGCTGATGCATCGTTTATACAGATTTTCTTATCTGTCCGTACTCTTCATCTGTTCAGGGTCAACTGTATGCTCTTGGCGGGAATGATGGCACTAGCTCCCTGGACAAGTGTGAACGTTACGACCCTTTCACCAACAAGTGGACCTCCATCGCAAGCATGAACAAGCGGAGGGCAGGGGCTGGAGTGGCTGTCTTGGATGGGGCTATTTTTGTAGCAGGTGGGAGGCAGATGCTGTCATTGCTGTCTTGGATGGGGCTATATTTGTGGGAGGCAAGGGGAGGGTCTTGGATGGGGCTATGTTTGTGGGAGGTGGGAGGCAGATGCTGTCATTGCTGTCTTGGATGGGGTTATATTTGTGGGAGGCAGGGGCTGGAGGGGCTGTCTTGGATGGGGCTATATTTGTGGGAGGCAGATGCTGTCATTGCTGTCTTGGATGGGGCTATATTTGTGGGAGGCAGGGGCTGGAGGGGCTGTCTTGGATGGGGCTATATTTGATGGAGGCAGGGGCTGGAGAGGCTGTCTTGGATGGGGCTATATTTGTGGGAGGCAGATGCTGTCATTGCTGTCTTGGATGGGGCTATATTTGTGGGAGGCAGGGGCTGGAGGGGCTCTCTTGGGTGGGGCTATATTTGTGGGAGGTGGGAGGCAGATGCTGTCATTGCTGTCTTTGGTGGGGCTATATTTGTTGGAGGCAGGGGCTAGAGAGGCTGTCTTGGATGGGGCTATATTTGTGGGAGGCAGGGGCTGGAGAGGCTGTCTTGGATGGGGCTATATTTGTGGGAGGCAGGGGCTGGAGGGGCTGTCTTGGATGGGAGCTATCTTGGATGGGCAGCTAGAGAGGCTATGGGGCTATATTGTGGGAGGCAGGGGCTGGAGAGGCTGTCTTGGATGGGGCTATATTTGTGGGAGGCAGGGGCTGGAGAGGCTGTCTTGGATGGGGCTATATTTGTGGGAGGCAGGGGCTGGAGAGGCTGTCTTGGATGGGGCTATATTTGTGGGAGGCAGGGGCTGGAGAGGCTGTCTTGGATGGGGCTATATTTGTGGGAGGCAGGGGCTAGAGAGGCTGTCTTTGGTGGGGCTATATTTGTTGGAGGCAGGGGCTGGAGAGGCTGTCTTGGTGGGGCGAGGGGCTGGGATGGCTGGAGAGGCTGGATGGGAGCTATATTTGTGGGAGGCTAAGGGGCTGGAGAGGCTGTTTTGGATGGGGCTATATTTGGTGGGAGGCAGGGCTGGAGAGGCTGTCTTGGAGGCAGGGGCTAGGAGCTTGGATGGAGGCTATATTTGGGGAGGGGCTGGAGGGTCTTGGATGGGGGCTATATTTGTGGGAGGCAGGGCTGGAGGGAGGCTGGGGCTGGAGGCTGGATGGGGCCACTTGGAGGGGGCTATTTGGATGGCTACTATATTTGGAGGCAGGGGAGGGTCTTGGATGGGGCTTATATTCTTGGATAGGCTATATTTGGCAGGCTGAGGGTTGGATGGATGGGGCATATTTGTGGGAGGCAGGGAGGCTGGAGGGCTGTATCTTTGATAGAGGCTATATTGTGGAAGGCAGGGGAGGAGTCTTGGATGGGGCTATATATTTGTAGGAGAGCAGGGGAGCTGGAGGGGTTATCTTGGATGGGGCTATATTTGTGGGAGGCAGGGGCTAGAGGGGCTGTCTTGGATGGGGCTATATTTGTGGGAGGCAGTAGTCTTGGTTCGGGCTGATGGTGCTATATATGTAGCAGATGTGAGGCTATATTTGTTGGCCTTAGGGACCACATAGGGAGGCAGGCAACGTCTTTGTAACATGTAGGAATTGCACAGGGTAACTTGGATTATCTGTGAATTCCCTTTTATTTAAAATACAAGGAACCAAATGTAGATGTTGGAATCAGATTTTCTATGGAAGAGGTGCTAATTAATGAATGATGGTAACTGTATATGATTACAATGAAATTTACAATTATTGTATGAGAGAATTAAAGTCACTGAATGTAATTTTGATGTAATATTGTATTTGCAGGGGGGTTTTCGATGACAAGCACCTCTGGACTCCAGTCATCTGACCCATCGACTGACACATGGAGTCCCATCACTATAGCATGTCCTGCTGTCGATAGGTGGTGTAGTCAGGCATGCTGGGGCAAGCTATATATGCTGTGGGGGGCATGATGGCTGCAACTATCTCAACTCTGTCGAGGGCGTCTGACTCACTGAAGCAGACACGGAGGTATTTTGATCCTTTCCTTCATTCCTTTGTTGACTTCCCTAGTAGTGTAGCAAATCTTTTTCAAACTGGTGATGGAACAGCATTAGGACAGGATTTCTTTCATACAGACATACTTTGACGAACCATTTGCATCTTATTTGCATCTTCTTGTACTCATATAGAATGTGGTTTGAATATGAACACATCACCCTTCCCTTGTATTATATCCCCCCAACTCACTATGATGCTCTCGTCAGCACTGACTGTCACCTGTGTCATCAGTACCAACGTCTGTGTTGAAACACTTCTACAGTCAAAGCATCGTCTATATATCCAGTAGCAACAATTGTTTAGTGTCATAAATATTGTGCTGCAAGCATAGAGAAATAGTGGATATGGCACATTTCACATTGATACATGTATAATGAAATTAGATTACAGTGACCTGACAGCAAGGCATTAAATATTGCTGCTGCTGCATTGTATAGGAGCCAATGGACAGGGGATCAGATGGTCAACATGGCTGCACAATGATTAACATGTTATGCTGGTGTGTCGATATACCCTACAATGGTTGTTCACAATATCAAATTCTGTCCGTCTACTCAAGACTGTCCAATAGGCTGCAGCAATGCATATGCTTTTATTATTGTGTATTCTTGTGTATAGAGTTGTGTGGCAATTAGCTCAACATGCTCAAATGCACTGGTTTGGATACAACCCAATATGTAGTACCTAGGCTATAGTCTAATTCCTCAGCATCAACACCTGTTGTCTCGAGGTCAAGTTAGGAAGCTTTTTACAAAATGTGGTGCATCATTAATGTAAATCACAGAATTTTGATTTACTTTTATTTTGCTGTGCATTAGCTTTTTATCATTTGGCATTATTGTTGCTTGTTGTGACAGAGTTTGCTCCCTTTGTTGCAGCTGGTCGTCTGTGAGAGGGATCCAACAGTATCGGGCAGGGGCAGGCGTTGCCTTCTGTGACAGCCCACTAAAAACTATCCGCAAATATATGAGAGGCATGATGCTGGAGCGTCTACAGTGTGTCTGATGTGTCACAAACAAACATGCCCAAAATATTGCGGGACATCAAAATGAGGCATTTGGAAAAATGGCAGCCTGTCTTGATACAAACAACATGATGGAGGTAGTCTACAGATAATGATACATTGTCTTGGCAAGAGAGGTCCTGGTGGAGGTGGCAGACGACACCACAGATGCCCATTTCTACTCACCTTGTTGGAGTTATTGTACAGAAGATCCATCATTCATGGGATAAAGTGGACAGGGTTGAAGCAGATATCATCATCTATGATGACCATGGAGAACAGGACTCCTAAAGATGGCGACTACATGATGACTGAGGTTCATCTGATTGTCCTGAAGGACATCTATCACTACTCCCAGAACTCATCCCTGCACAGACATACTCAACACCCTCCACACACAGTTCCCCATGTCTGCTGTACACGTATTGGCTGTTTATTGTTGCCTGAAGCACAGCAAGGACCAAATGTCATTAGCTATGGGTTTTTAGTAGACATAGTTCCACCTGTATTTATTTTTCCAAGGTCACACCCATCACAGCTTAGTGTGCTTCTAGCTTTGTCCTCTTTCAACTTGAAAATCAAATTCTGCTGTGATGAATGCAGACTTTTCCATCCATTATTGTTTATTGTTTGCATGACAGGATACATGTTGTTGTGAAAGAATTATATACATTACCTTTTTCAGTGGTGTATGTTGTTAGTCGATTGTTGTTGAGATGTTTTTCGGAAAAAAAAATCCTGGTGAAATCAGATTTTATGTAGTTGATTTCATGATTATAATAATGACAGAGATCAAGAATTTTTAAACTGGGTAATAATTTTATTTAAATGTTAAATTTCAGACTGTGATAATATGAGAATTATTTCATGGGATATATAATAGTGCAAGTTTCACAAGTGATAGATAATATGCTACCTAGTATGTTGTAAGTAGGATAAAATTTTGAGTTCCAAGAGGTACAGTTCTTGTGCTATACTTTTCCAGAGACATGCTAGGACCATCACAGAATTATCACAGGAGCATGACAAGAACTCGGAATAGATTTTATGTGATAACTGGGACCTGCAAGTTGGTTACCAAGGTTACCAGACAATACCGGTGCATGTGATATTGAAGTCCTTCACCTTCCTGATGCCATAATCAACAATTATCAAACTATTTTTAGAAGTCTTAGATTGAACTCGAAGATTTAATAACAGCAATAAATATATCTTTATTTCATTTTACATGTAGTATAAACATATATATTTAGAACCTGAGACAGTTGTGGTACAAGATGGTGATATTTATACTACCCCTTGATATTTACATAATAATGTTATAAAAAAGACTTTCCTGGATCCACACAGCAAACAAGGTTTTTCTTGTGTCAAGTTTGAGGGTTACGCGCCATCATAGTCCGGTTTGCTGATGAAACTGGATCAGCGACATCAGGCCTGTGGTAGGGTGAATGGACTCAAGTGTTGACATATCAGTGCATAATTCTCAATAAATGGTGCAAGCTAGCTCAACGAAACTCTACCTGGCATTTCGTAACTTGTCTATTGTGTGTGACGTGCTTGGGTTGACCTGTCAAATTGTAAGTCATTCACTGAACTTACTCTGTACTGTGGCAGTGCTCTTCATGTGAGAGAAGCTGACGAATGAATGATTTGAAAGTTAACTGTTTGATTCTTAAATCAATCGACAGCATTACACCAAGACTTACTACAGCATGGAGAATGAAGTAAGCCTTTTAAAGCACTGCACTCAAGATACTCATTATATTCTCTGGCAGTAAAAACACAGAATTACCAACTATTCTTATATACAAATTTACAGAGTGGTAAATTCTTTGTACCACTTTATTTATGTATGAATTATCTACTGACATTGTTGATATTTGTGTGGGAGTGGAAAAGCTTTGCTTGTGTGTGTCAACAAGTGCTCAATACAGTAATTGCAATGTGTGCAATAACGTACATGAAAACTGTGCTAGGGGCGACAATCTGGATGTATGTCACATGACGCATTGTGGTAATATTCTCACTGATTATACGACAATCGCGTTTCCTACTTATCTGATTTCACAATCAAGCTCTACGCACAGGACATTTTGTTCCTCATCACTGAGAACAGCTGTACAAAGTCATATAACACTCTCACCTGTAAATTGTCTAACAACGGAGTCCATGACAAATTTTTATGGATAACAACTAATCCATTCCCAAGTTCTTGAAAGTTAGAAAAATTGGACTAACATAAATACATGACACGTTTTTATAGATAACTTCTTTTTATTCTTTATACGTCGTTTTCATTCACCTGAATGAGGAGAAAGAAGAAAGAATTAGCTCTGAAACGTATAAAGAATAAAAAAGAAGTTATCCATAAAAACGTGTCATGTATTCATGTTTGTCCAACTTTTCTAACTTTCAAGAACTTAACAATGGAGTAGTGTTCATTATAATTTTCAATCAAAATGTTACAACTCATAATTTTCATCAGTGAGGCAGGACCATTTTAAAATTAGGTTCAACTATTCTGCGAAGTGTTAAAGGGATAAAGAATAAGGATGAAAATTAAAATTGTTTTTCATTTTGGATGGTGTTTTCCAACTTTCCTGTCACTGTGACTGTGTGTAGGGTGGGTCTATGCTGCTGAGGCTGGTCTCCTGTATCGTGTGTATCAGGAGATGTTGGATGGAGTACAACTGAGAGCGTGTTAGTGTAAGGACCACTCGTTCTCCATGGGGAGGGGGAGCTGGATCAACACCAGCTATTTGTATGTCAACATCCTTTCATATTTTGTCTTTGTGTTCAACAAATATTTGATGTTTGATGTCAGGTAGCTTGTTGTAGCTGAAGATGAATTATATTAAATTATGAAGTAGATGCTGTGCAAGATACAATTTTAAACTTGTTAATGCTTTGTTATTCGGTGGTCTTTGAGATTAGAAGTCAGTTTTATGTGCTCCAAATGTGAAAAATTAATGAATGGTGACCAGTTATTTTAACCTACAATTGTTGGCCATAATGAGTTTCTGAAGTTTAGTCTCCATTGATATCAAAGTAGCAGAAATATGTAAATTAATATTTACAAATCATGTGCACTATTTTTGCCATGTTAGTGTTTAGACTATATTTATCTTGTATTAGACATCGACATTTACACTGAAAACGTGACAGTTGTGTTTTCTTGCTGAGAATAAAAGGGAAGTTTAAAAATAGAAATATACTGACACACTTTGATTTTCTTTTGCTGATGTTTGTGAACATGGCCTCAACACAACAATGATGTCATTTAGGTTTGAATCTCATTTCATGTGTTTCAGAGCTGAAAAACATATCTTGACTGCTGGAAAACATGATTAATCATTTTCATTGTCCATCATTATAACTGATTTCTAGATTAATTCTCAACTTGCAGCAAACAAACACCTGATATTGCGTCTTGCTCTGTCCAAGTTGCAAAACCATTTAGTTTATGGGAGACATGTTGTTGTGTGTGCAAAGAATAGTTGTACAGGAAGTCATCCTTGTCCTGCAGTAGACTTGTTACAAGTGAGGTTAAAACAATAATATAGACCTCAGTGGGTGGGTGGGACAGTTTACTGGGGGCTGGAGTTTGATAATGGAACTCTGGTATTTATGAATACTGACATATGTTGTGATGTAAATATTCCATGAGTTGAGTATTAAACCAGTATTTATTATGTGGATATTTATTTGTTGTAAATATCATTCTCTAGTCATAATATTTTTCCCCGCTATACAGAACAGGCACATGAGATGCTGTACTGACCATGAGACTATTAAGGCTGAATCATGTCATGTTTGTTGTATTTATGTGAAGGTAAATGTTGGGCGAAAGACCTCTCTTGTAAGTAAAGGGTTAATTGGTATCTTGTTTCTTTACACTTTACATTATTCATAAAAGGCTTAAAGATTGTCATAGCTGATGGTTATATTTTCCAAAAATGGAGAAAATAGAAATTATATGCAGGGTGGAAATAACCCATTGCCCGACGTCCGAGTCAAGTGTTTTTTTCTGTCGGGCAAGCAAATTTGTATATTACGCTGTACCGGTGTCCAGTTGACTTTCCAATGTTAATAATGTTATTTATTTAAAAGAACAAGAAGAAAACGTCCAGTATAGTGGAAAAATTATTAGGGCAAGTGATTTTACATGTGCCACTGTACCGGAGTACACTAGCAATTTTAAAGTTATTTCCACCCCTGATCTGTTGAAAAGTATGGGGAATATTCTTAAGAATGATTGTTTCAGAAAACATAGAGGAATCCCTGCAGCAAGGACAAAGTTATCTATGTACGCTCGTCCTCCGTCTTAGGCGTTACATTACAGTTAGATTAGGAGTCTGCATGTGTTACCACAGGTACACCTTAAGGTTATCAGCTGGAACCTGTGCTCTTTGTACAAGTATTTTCTGTATAGCTAGAAATCCATGAACCATCTTGTATGTGCATTCTGTGACATGGTGTCAGTGCTTGGTGGTGTCCCACTAGTATCTCCCGACGTGTGACTGGCTCTCGTGTCGTTGTCGTCTTTCAAACAGCTTTAATCAAATCTCAAGTACAGGAGTTTATGATTATAGTGCTTGTGCAGATACTTGTGATTTTTTATCTGAATATGTCATTGTTTTCCAAAAAAAAGTGTTAGCAAGGTTTTTCAGCTCAATGTTCGACTTGACATATCAGTTGCGTTAATACAAAGAATTGAATTGTTAACTAGTTATTTAAATTGAGTGATATTGACAAAACAAACCATTTTTAGGTAGAAACTTACCACAGTTGGTTGTGAATTGGTGAAGCATTTAATGCAAAATATAAACTGATTAAGGGATTCGAGTAGTTCTGTGGTTTCAATGTTACCAAGCCACATGGCATGTCCACTCTTGTACAAGCCATGAGGCAGTATGATATTAGCATTGACCATGTCACCTGTGTGTGTATATAGAAAACTATGTGCAACTTTGATATCAGCCATACATACTAGCCTGGTTGCTAGCAGCAAATAAAACTGTGCCAACTATGATATATTCTCCTGTTTTCTGTGAACCCTTTCAGTGACATACAGAGGATGATGTATGACTGAGCCATCAGAGTTGCTTCCCTTAGTGAGATTGTTGAGATCACTTTGGAGCTCATATCCAAGACTGATCATCATCACGATTCCTATCTTTGAAGGCCATATCCATGTAGGTTTCGTCAAAGTGGGCTCCTACAGGATGTCATATAACTGCAATACGTGTGTGTGTGTGTGTGTGTGTGTGTGTGTGTGTGTTTGTCTGCATGCTAGTCAGTAAATACTTAATCATTCTGAAAAAAATATGGTGTCCTGCGAAACAGCTGAACATCAGGAACCCCCATTATCCCACGATTGTCATTTGCTACTTAGTGTGAGGATTTAGATTCTAGAGTTCTAGCATTGACGTGGAAATTGTTTGGATATGATCTCACAAATGAAAGAGGCTGAGTCCTCTTACAGTGTAAGGTTCCTGTGATTGACAGAGCATATTGTCTTGGATTGATGTGTGTATCTTAAGACACTGATTCCTTATACAGAGTGACATCGTTCTGGTTGAGACTGTTTTATCTGGTTGTGATGGGTATCTCAACAAGGCAACATGGGACTGAGATAAACCTTTATTTCAACTAACAAATTCAAACTAAATATTTTATGACAATGACAACAATGACAAGTATTTACATAGTTCCACAAGTCATATAATAGAAATTGATGTATGGAAGCTCATAAATAGGTAACATCTCGATAATTATCAAATGTCGAAAGTCTGTAATCCTTTAGCTCATACTTGCCTAATACGGAGTGCTCGTAAGAAAATAATTGCACCGGTTTACCAGCCTGACATAATTATAGTTGCATACTGTTACATGTGTCTGGTGAATACGAGAAAAGTTGCTGATAAATATTGGTGAGATATTAATATAAATATATACTTCACAACATCTGCTGCTAAATATATATGGAAAGTCTTACGGTCTAGAAGCTTTCATAATGGTGACTTGTACAGTGCCAGACACTTCATAAGCCAAAACATCAATCTTGTGAACTAGAGGTGAGTTCTATCCCAGTAGATGACAGCGTGATACTATTTACTATATACAACACAACACCAGTGCACCGATACCAGTATAGGAAAACACGGATACCAACACGGGTACCATACAACATAAGACCCACGACATGAAACCTGATTTATCGAAATTCAAATAAATTCATCCAGGTTAACTAATTCTTGAAAAACAATAATTTGAGGGTAAAATTCTTTGACATATATTTAAACGTCCATAAAACCCTGAAAAGTAATATCATCTACAAAGTTAAATTTGCGGATTAAGACTTAAGATTTGCACCCAGATGTGAATGTTTTATTGTAACATGCCTGACTACAAGTGAATGAATGATGAATCAGCTAGTTGTATCAAGATAATGAATGATTTTACCATCCAAGGCTCCCTTCTCTATGGCGCTCCTGTTCACATGTTATGAGAGGTTCACAATAGCACTCATCACTATGTGGAACTAAGCCAAAGAGACCTTCTCGAAGAGATTCATGATTTTGCAGAGTGCAAAGATCACTTTGTGGATGAAGCCCTAGACCCCTACCACAAAGAGATATTAGCGCTATGTCTTTTGTAAATGTATGCTTAAGTAGAGCAGTTACAACTACTTTAGCTCTAAGATTGCCTAGTGGAACGGGGACCTCTCTCTCATATAGCAGTCATAGGTTTAAGAACATATTCTGTGACACAGGCTTGCCTCAGCCATAGCTCTAAAATGTCTCCATGGAGTGAGCACTTGGCTACACAAAGGCAAAGTGGCATTACCAAGGTGTAACTCACATAATCTAGCATAGACTGAACAATTACAGTGCAAACATTGCCTTGTGAAGATAGCCAAGGACCTATCCACAGAACACAGCTGGATCGATCAGAAAATCTTCTGGTCTTTACAAGGATTGTCATCCAACAATAGCATATACCATACACATACACTACTCAAAAGAGTGAGTTTAGTTTTACGCCGCTCTCAGCAATATTACAGCTATATGGCGTCGGTCTGTAAATAATTGAGTCTGGACCAGACAATCCAGTGATCAACAGCATGAGCACTACTCAAAAGAGGTACGAGGACACTTGGTTATGTCATATGATTGTAGTTCATTTGTCATGGCTGATTGGTATTGCAACACAAAAACTACCATATGTTGGTGTCTTGTTCTGAGTCATCTCCACAATTATATGATCGCCATGGTTACCAGGAGACCCAAATCAGCTGACTGATGCTTTGATGCTGAATCAAACACACAATGTTCTGTAGTGGTTGTAATATGATGCTGTAGCACTTCAAACATTAAGATGATGTTTTTTCTATGTTGATGTCACATTCAACACGACCATATTTGACTCACCACATACATATATTCTAAATTCTTAAGGTGAATAACTGACATGACGTGACAAAGCAGCGTCAAGAGATTCTGTATTCCGTGGCAAACAGATCGAACAACATAAACTGTTTCTGTGACTTCTGAAATCTGCGGGGCGGTGGGGTAGCCTAGTGGTTAAAGCGTTGGCTCATCACGCCAAAGACCCCGGTTCGAATCCCCACATGGGTACAATGTGTGAAGCCCATTTCTGGTGTCCCCCGCCGTGATGTTGCTGGAATATTGCTAAAAGCGGCGTAAAACCAAACTCAGTCAGTCTGAAATCTGCACACATGGAAAAATGAAATGCCAATTCATATTTAACATCAAAAACAAAATCTTCCCTTCATAAGAAACTCAATCAAAGCCCAATTAAAAATTTCCCTCGTACAAATTGTTTTACTCCCCATGAAAATGTGTTCCAAACTAAACTACCCAAAAGTTTCGTTCAAAATGATCAGATGGTATTAATCTTCATTTTTCATCCAGTCCCAACACAAAAATTTACATTAAAATGCAGGGCTCCAGATAATTTTTCAACATCAGGAGTACGTACTCCTTATTTGTTCAATATAGGAGTACTGGAAAACCTTAAGTGTACATTTAGAGAACTGAATGGAAATTAATGGACTATCAGTAATCTTGTGTTTCGTTTCATATATGCACCACAATATTGATACTCTTGTGTAAACAGGTCAATAAACAATAAAACAATACTTTTTTTCAGATAAATACGTCTGTAAATGATTCTAAGACCGTACACCATTGCTGTGGTGCGTATCTGCTACGTTTTCTAAATTATTTCCTGCCGTATCGTGCATATTTTTTAACCGTGCATACGCTGATACGGCCCTTATCTGGAGCCCTGAAAATGTGTTTGTATCTTAAGTCACACAGGCTTTAAGGAATATATAGGAGCTTTATCTTCTAATAATTAGAGTTATTATAAACCCACTGAAGAACAACCAAGGCATTGATACCTCCAGAGTGTCCACCATGAAGTCTCCTATAGAGTATCAAGTTCCTGCTGGATTCACCCTCTCAGTGATGCCAACTCATACCAACAGGGCAGGATCATAGTGCACTGCACATGACAGGAAGTTGATTTGGAAACCTGGGAGTTTCGTAAACACTGTCAATCATTCCTACAAATCTGAGTAAATGAGCTGCATAGTGGATGGAGAACAGACAGCTCACAAACTGCCTTTGTTTTACTCATAAGGCACTCTTAATAGACACCATTATCAAGAAAATATTTCACGACTATAAGAGTTCTGCCGATCATATGCACCCATCTCCAAAGAGTCTTTGCATACATCTGAATGTCTTGTTCCAGAATTTCCTTCTGCACTCTTCACTCTGTTAATAGTTCCATACAGAGTGTTACCATGGTTACCAAGTCTTGTAACCTGGCAATCATGTCTGCTATCTCTTGGATTTACATATATCTCCTGTTGCCCGGCAGTCCCCGCTGGGTGCGGCCAGGAAGATGCGCCCGCTGGGACACATGCACAGCTGGTGCACCCCAGGGTATTCACGCCCTGTGCCCGTGGGTCTACTCAACTTCAGGTTCTTCAGGAAGATGTCTGCGGAGTCAAGCAGGATCTGCAGGAGGGAGATGGTGTGATGCAACATGTCAACATGGTGTGGTAGTCTTAAGATATTTAAAGATACAGGTGGGAAGATACAAATAAATAGACGAAATTCTTTTCAAAACAGAGGCAGCCAATGCTTGGATGTGCAGGTGACATAAAAAACAGGCTCTAGGCCACATCATGGATCGATGACATTCCATTTTTAAAACAAGAAGACAAAGTCATCAATATCCCCCGCAATGGCAAAATACTCTTCATGATTATGTCTACGAGTTATGATTATGTCAAATATTTAGGTGTGTACATAGAAGAGTGGAAGGAGAGTATTGAAAGGTTTTTAAAGTTCTGCTCCAGAAAGGAGCACTATCACCAATTTCAGTCTATGTCAAACTTGTTGCCATGGAAATGCCAAAAATATTATATTCAGAAATCCAAAACTACCAAAAAGGAACCAGTACACCACCAGACCAATCTATGTGTCAAGTTTGGTGAAGAAATAGTGAATGGTTTTAGAGTTCAGCTCCGGAAAAGTGCACTACCACCAATTTCAGGCTATGTCAAACTTGTTGCCATGGAAAAAGCCAAAATGTTTTATTCAGAATTCCAAAACTACCAAAAGGCACCAGTTCACCACCAGATCTATCTATGTGCCAAGTTTGGTGAAGAAATAGTGAACGGTTTTAGAGTTCTGCTCCGGAAAAGACAAATGTGCACGGACGGACACTCGCACGCACGGACGGAGTCCATTTTAATACCCCCCGCAAAACACGTTGAGGGGGATAAAAAATATATTGTTTTTATTTTGGTTAAGGGACACAAAGTCATATGCATGACATTAGCTGTTTCTGTACTCTGGAGGAAAAATGTAGTTGCAAAGTTTTAAATCAACGCCTTTGACTTTGATCTTCCTCTTCCACATACACAAAATGAATGTACACAAGGCAGCTGAATGAGTTACCTGCACCTTGTAGATTCATTCAAAATTTTAAAAAATAAGAATTCACACAACCAGAAATATGATTCCGGGTACTCTGTGTTTTAACCTTATTTTGCAACCATTAGCAGCTTAATTGTTCTGTCTCTTGACCATTTTGTGTGAATGGAGCCAAATACTCACAGAGCCATATTTACTGTGCAGCCTGATGTCATCAGCTGTGTTGATATCGATGTTGCCGGCTGGTGCATGCAGGAACACGCCCCCTGGTGCTGACAGCTTCACGGCACTGCTCTCGGACTCCACCCTAAGGAAGGGAGATAACCCATGTCAAATATATCACAGCAGACAAATGTTAAACTGTGGAACAGGAAGCGACTTATAAAAGAACATGGACAACATCCCAGGCTAGCTATTCTCGAAACATTTGTAGCCCTACAAACTTCTTAATCCAATTCTTAACACATTGGCTGCAATCAAAGTTAAGAATTCTTAGGGCTATGAACGTTTCGAGAATAAGGGCCCAGTTCCAGCATTATTGAACATATAGTATAATGAATGTTAATTCTCTCAGACGTGATGACCTCCATGGTCTAATAGGTTTCTGCCTTGAGAGCACAAGGTTGGGGTTCGAATCTGGTTGTGTCATAACAAATGCATACATGGCCATGTAAGTGGGCTAGTCTTGAACATGTAACATCTGTTATATTTGGGATTACACTTTCTTAGTAAAGTACAAATTCTACTACTTTTTGAGTTAAGCCCCATCCGGGATTCGAACTCACACAAAGTCAGGCGCCTAACCCGCTCAGCTACCAAGACTTCCAGAATTTCCTTCTGAGCTGAGCTGAGCGGGTTAGGCGTCTGACTTTGTGTGCTGGCGATTAGGTGCCTGACTCTGAGGGTGTGAGTTCGAATCCCGGATGGGGCTCAACTCAAAAAGTAGTAGAATTTTTACTTTACTTAGAAAGTGTAATCCCAAATATAACATACGTTACATTTGACCACTTTCTAAATGGCAATGGGTAATCATAGTCTTGAAGAAACCCCATTTGAGAAGCCTCATTATATCTGTACACGATGGAGTAGCCTAGTGGCTGGACACATTCACTCACTCATCCAGTAGAAGCCACATCTATGTCACAAAGAAGATGATTGTTCACAAATTAGGACCAACTTTGCCTTTAGAAAACATCGAGACAAACTTCCTTTAATAGTTGCAGCTTTTGTTTTTGATTGCATCATTTACATCATCAGACCGCCTCCGTGGTGTAGTGGTTAGAGCATCCGCCCGGAGAGCGGAAGGTCGTGGGTTCGATCCCCGACTGCGTCATACCAAAAGACGTTAAAATATGGTACTTGTTGGTACCTGCCTGGCTCTCGGCATTAATGGGTACAACAAGGACTGGTCGGCTCAGAGTCAGTATCATGTGTCTGAGTGGGGTATTCATGCTTCACTGCGGCATGGTATCACAGTGGGCTAGCACTATAAAACCAGCTTCAGTCTCGGCTAGTACAAGCAGCCGCACTTACACATACACACGCATGCACGTCGTCATATGAGCGAAATATTCTCAAGTACGACGTTAAACCCAATTCCACCACCACCACCACCCATATTCCACCAATATTCCACCGATACCACAGCAGGTGGATACCAGAAATGGTCTTCACACATTGTCCCCATTTTGGGAACCAAACCTGCACCTTAAGGTTGACAAACAAACACTTTAAACACTTTTTAAACACATAATTCAAAGTAATTATTGAAGGTCTCACCAGTGTTGTCAGGACATTCTACATGTGAGATGCCTAAAAATTCCAGTTCTATTTAATGCTTATTACCCAAGTTGTTTTTACAAAATAATATTGCACAAACTATCCTGTTGAGTATCTTTTTAGAAGTAGATTAGAAAAATTATGACAAAACAAATTAATTTATCAACTCAATGTGTGATGAAAGCATATTGCCACTTATAACACAATGTTTCTGGGCTATTTCTTGCCCCTGCCATCCATATACTCGTCTTATATGTAATGTTATGATTCTTAAAGACTCAAAGAGCACAGTTATTTCACTTAACTTCAACATGAAAAAGAAATAAAAACAACAAAGTGTTGATATCAATTATTGCATTAAAAGAAGGGCAGGGTGTCAAATATAAAGGGCAGGGTGCTGCGCTCTGCTAAAAATGCCTGGGGGAAACACTATCGTCTAACAACTGGGGTATTTGGCTTTCATGCACACACATAGAGACAGGCACATACACGCGTAACGTAGCATACATGCTTTCTTCCACGAACATGACTAAATGATATTTGGGTTCAGGATTAGCCCACCCCCTGTGAAAATCCTTCCTACAGGACCACCTGCATCACGTTAGGCTGTAGTCACACATCCATGCAACAGGAGCAGTGTTCAAATACTTGTTATACCCAGTTTCCCCACTTCTTCTACAGTCCGTTTGAGTCAGAAACGGACCGATGAATTGCAAATTTTATCATTGTACAAAATTGCCACATAAATATTAATATTGCACATGTTTATCATTTACTAACAGCTTTTTTATATTTGAAAATTTTCCGGACTCCACCGAAAAAGTTGTTTAAGAAACTATCATCATTGAAAACGCAAAAAGTTGTTATATGTCGTGGCGGGGTGAAACCACAGAAACGGAACAGCCCCCTATCTCGTCGTGCATGGGATACACATGCCTGATGACTCCACCAAAAAAGTTGTTTAAGAAACTATCATCATTGAAAACGCAAAAGTTGTTATCTGTCGTGGCGGGGTGAAACCGCAGAAACGGAACAGCCAGTCATGGCTGGGGACATCTCAAAATCTATTCCGGGAGACCTGTCGTTCCTCGTCCGTTGTGACCCTTAATTTTTATGTTACTGTCAACTTTGTAGAGAGGTTCACCTTTATGGATTTTTATGATCTCATATAGCTGAGGCTTCGTTGCCTTTGAAGGCCGTGCGATCTGAAATTTGTCGGGCCATGATATCATATCACCTTTTCGACTGTTCGATGTCGGGGCTTTACTGTCGGGGTCCTGCACGCTGTGGTATGGGGCATTGTCCATTACGATAAAAGACTTCTCTGGTAGAGCTTGTACCAACTTGTTTTTAACCCAAGCGAAGAAAACCGCACCATTCATCTCGGAATGGTAGTCTCTGTTATCTGTGGACTTTGCCCTGAATACCAAATTAAGCAGCCTGGGAGAAAGCCTTTGCTGGAGCAACCAGCATGGAGAATGATTAGTCTCTCTCCTTTCCCTAGAGGCAGCTTTCTACGTGACCCCTTATCAACCCCATCTGGTACCCACTGACTGCTGGCGGTGTCGCGAGGCGATGACCCAGGTCGTCCAAATTACACTGGCTTGAACCCTTCCTCGGCGCTTCTTCTATATAACCCTGAAAAATTATTTCTCAAGCGAGGCGATATCAGAGGCGTTCACAGAGTACTGACCTATTCTCCCCGAAATTTTCTTATAGCGATACCGAAGAGTGTAAAATTAAGCCAGAGTGTGTACTTTGATACTCTGAGGTTGTGTTCTTTACTTCAAATGCTTTTTAAAATTTTCAGCGACATGTATTTGTTTTCAGAATAGAGCTTGTTGATAGACTGCCTTACAAGGTTCTTTTGAAAGTTGTCCAAATGTTTTAATTTGTGTGATTTTGACCGCGACCCTACCTGCTTAGCCCATCACCCTCACAATGTTTGTGTTCCAGAACATTTGTCAGTACCCTTGCTGATACTCCTAAAGCTTTTGCTGCCCGGCTACGGAATTTATTAATAGCATAAAATGGTTTGCCCTTTCGGCTTCAGCATGGAAAAAATCGTTACACTTTAATCATCAACTGTTTCCGTCAGCATTCAACTTCATTTTTCATCAGGCATGTGTATCCCATGCACGCGGCGAGATAGTGGCTGTTCCGTTTCTCTTGGTTTCACCCCCCACGACATATAACAACTTTTTGCGTTTTCAATGATGATAGTTTCTTAAACAACTTTTTCGGTGGAGTCCGGAAAATTTTCAAATATAAGAAAGCTGTTGGGTATTAGTAAATGATAAACATGTGCAATATTTATATTTATGTGGCAATTTTGTACAATGATAAAATTTGCAATTCATCGGTCCGTTTCTGACTCCAACGGACTGTACCAGGACTGACTATGAACTCACACGAGAGATTCTGATTGTGGTCCCCGCAATGATGGCGTCTCCACGGATCCATCAAAAGTAGCCTTCCCTGGAACAGGAAGATGGTAAATCACAATTATAGTCTGTTTCGCTCAAAATCGGACCGATTAATTGCAATCTAACTCGAAAAAGTACTAAACATATAATACTCAATGAAACACTTGTTAATCAAAACATCAGACCAACTCTGTGATTTTTTTGCTGAATTTATGTCCTAAAAATAAAAAAGTTTTTTAAAATATTTACACAGTTCACTGTTTGATACAAGGGGGGAGTGCAAAGAAAGGGACAGCCAGGTGTGCGAGAAAGGATGGAAACAGCACAGCACAGGTAAATGAATCGATAACTTTGACGGCACTTGTGCATGTGCTACACGTACACCTGGCTGTAGTAAATGTCTGGGACCTGCGTCACTAACCGGCAAGATGATGCATCATGTAACTACAAAATACTCTTCAAAAGGATGTAAAACCCACCAGAGCATACGACCTCATCTACACCGAAGATGATTTCATCTTTATCGACCAATAAGCGTGAGGCACCATTGTTGTCCTTGATTTCGAAACTGTCACATTTGACTGTCGCCTTGTTTTTCTCTGAAACATTACCAGATGCAAGCGATAAGCAATTACAGCAACACTGTCCCCCTGTCATCTACACATGACATGCTGTGTGATGTTTGTCATCTACACATGACACGCTGTGTGGTGTTTGTCCTCTACACATGACATGCTGTGTGATGTTTGTCCTCTACACATGACATGCTGTGTGATGTTTGTCATCTACACATGACACGCTGTGTGGTGTTTGTCCTCTACACATGACATACTGTGTGGTGTTTGTCATCTACACATGACATGCTGTGTGATGTTTGTCATCTAAACATGACACGCTGTGTGGTGTTTGTCCTCTACACATGACATGCTGTGTGATGTTTGTCCTCTACACATGACACGCTGTGTGGTGTTTGTCATCTACATATGACATGCTGTGTGATGTTTGTCCTCTACACATGACATGCTGTGTAGTGTTTGTCATCTACACATGACATGCTGTGTGATGTTTGTCCTCTACACATGACATGCTGTGTGATGTTTGTCCTCTACACATGACATGCTGTGTGATGTTTGTCCTCTACACATGACAGCGCTGTGTGATGTTTGTCCTCTACACATGACATGCTGTGTGATGTTTGTCATCTACACATGACATGCTGTGTGATGTTTGTCCTCTACACATGACATGCTGTGTGATGTTTGTCCTCTACACATAACATGCTGTGTGATGTTTGTCCTCTACACATGACACGCTGTGTGATGTTTGTCATCTACACATGACATGCTGTGTGATGTTTGTCCTCTACACATGACATGCTGTGTGATGTTTGTCATCTACACATGACATGCTGTGTGATGTTTGTCCTCTACACATAACATGCTGTGTGATGTTTGTCCTCTACACATGACACGCTGTGTGTGTTTGTCCTCTACATATGACATGCTGTGTGATGTTTGTCCTCTACACATGACATGCTGTGTGATGTTTGTCCTCTACACATGACATGCTGTGTGATGTTTGTCCTCTACACATGACACGCTGTGTGGTGTTTGTCATCTACACATGACACACTGTGTGATGTTTGTCCTCTATCTATAACATGCTGTGTGATGTTTGTCCTCTGCACATGACATGCTGTCTCATGTTCTGTCCTCTATGACATGCTGTGTCATGTTCTGTCCTCTATGACATGCTGTCTAATGTTCTGTCCTCTACAACATGCTGTATAATGTTCTGTCCTCTATGACATGCTGTCTAATGTTCTGTCCTCTATGACATGCTGTGTCATGTTCTGTCCTCTATGACATGCTGTGTCATGTTCTGTCCTCTATGACATGCTGTCTAATGTTCTGTCCTCTATGACATGCTGTCTAATGTTCTGTCCTCTATGACATGCTGTCTAATGTTCTGTCCTCTATGACATGCTGTGTCATGTTCTGTCCCCTATCTATGACATGCTGTGTCATGTTCTGTCCTCTATGACATGCTGTGTCATGTTCTGTCCTCTATGACATGCTGTGTCATGTACTGTCCTCTATGACATGCTGTCTAATGTTCTGTCCTCTATGACATGCTGTCTAATGTTCTGTCCTCTATGACATGCTGTGTCATGTTCTGTCATCTATGACATGCTGTGTCATGTACTGTCCTCTATGACATGCTGTCTAATATTCTGTCCTCTATGACATGCTGTGTCATGTACTGTCCTCTATGACATGCTGTCTAATGTTCTGTCCTCTATGACATGCTGTGTCATGTCCTGTCCTCTATGACATGCTGTCTAATGTTCTGTCCTCTATGACATGCTGTGTCATGTACTGTCCTCTATGACATGCTGTCTAATGTTCTGTCCTCTATGACATGCTGTGTCATGTTCTGTCCTCTATGACATGCTGTGTCATGTTCTGTCCTCTACAACATGCTGTGTGATGTTCTGTCCTCTATGACATGCTGTGTCATGTACTGTCCTCTATGACATGCTGTCTAATGTTCTGTCCTCTATGACATGGTGTGTCATGTACTGTCCTCTATGACATGCTGTCTAATGTTCTGTCCTCTATGACATGCTGTGTCATGTTCTGTCCTCTATGACATGCTGTGTCAAGTACTGTCCTCTATGACATGCTGTGTCATGTTCTGTCCTCTATGACATGCTGTGTCATGTTCTGTCCTCTATGACATGCTGTGTCAAGTACTGTCCTCTATGACATGCTGTGTCATGTACTGTCCTCTATGACATGCTGTGTCATGTTCTGTCCTCTATGACATGCTGTGTCAAGTACTGTCCTCTATGACATGCTGTGTCATGTACTGTCCTCTATGACATGCTGTGTCATGTACTGTCCTCTATGACATGCTGTCTAATGTTCTGTCCTCTATGACATGGTGTGTCATGTACTGTCCTCTATGACATGCTGTGTCATGTTCTGTCCTCTATGACATGCTGTGTCATGTTCTGTCCTCTATGACATGCTGTGTCATGTTCTGTCCTCTATGACATGCTGTGTCATGTACTGTCCTCTATGACATGCTGTCTAATGTTCTGTCCTCTATGACATGCTGTGTCATGTACTGTCCTCTATGACATGCTGTGTCATGTTCTGTCCTCTATGACATGCTGTGTCATGTCCTGTCCTCTATGACATGCTGTCTAATGTTCTGTCCTCTATGACATGCTGTGTCATGTTCTGTCCTCTATGACATGCTGTCTAATGTTCTGTCCTCTATGACATGCTGTGTCATGTTCTGTCCTCTATGACATGCTGTGTCATGTTCTGTCCTCTACAACATGCTGTGTGATGTTCTGTCCTCTACAACATGCTGTGTGATGTTCTGTCCTCTATGACATGCTGTGTAATGTTCTGTCCTCTATGACATGCTGTCTAATGTTCTGTCCTCTATGACATGGTGTGTCATGTACTGTCCTCTATGACATGCTGTCTAATGTTCTGTCCTCTATGACATGCTGTGTCAAGTACTGTCCTCTATGACATGCTGTGTCATGTACTGTCCTCTATGACATGCTGTGTCATGTTCTGTCCTCTATGACATGCTGTGTCATGTACTGTCCTCTATGACATGCTGTCTAATGTTCTGTCCTCTATGACATGCTGTGTCATGTACTGTCCTCTATGACATTCTGTCTAATGTTCTGTCCTCTATGACATGCTGTGTCAAGTACTGTCCTCTATGACATGCTGTGTCATGTACTGTCCTCTATGACATGCTGTGTCATGTTCTGTCCTCTATGACATGCTGTGTCAAGTACTGTCCTCTATGACATGCTGTGTCATGTACTGTCCTCTATGACATGCTGTGTCATGTACTGTCCTCTATGACATGCTGTCTAATGTTCTGTCCTCTATGACATGCTGTGTCATGTACTGTCCTCTATGACATGCTGTCTAATGTTCTGTCCTCTATGACATGCTGTGTCATGTTCTGTCCTCTATGACATGCTGTGTCATGTTCTGTCCTCTATGACATGCTGTGTCATGTTCTGTCCTCTATGACATGCTGTCTAATGTTCTGTCCTCTATGACATGCTGTGTCAAGTACTGTCCTCTATGACATGCTGTGTCATGTACTGTCCTCTATGACATGCTGTGTCATGTTCTGTCCTCTATGACATGCTGTGTCAAGTACTGTCCTCTATGACATGCTGTGTCATGTACTGTCCTCTATGACATGCTGTGTCATGTACTGTCCTCTATGACATGCTGTCTAATGTTCTGTCCTCTATGACATGGTGTGTCATGTACTGTCCTCTATGACATGCTGTCTAATGTTCTGTCCTCTATGACATGCTGTGTCATGTTCTGTCCTCTATGACATGCTGTGTCAAGTACTGTCCTCTATGACATGCTGTGTCATGTTCTGTCCTCTATGACATGCTGTCTAATGTTCTGTCCTCTATGACATGCTGTCTAATGTTCTGTCCTCTATGACATGGTGTGTCATGTACTGTCCTCTATGACATGCTGTCTAATGTTCTGTCCTCTATCTATGACATGCTGTGTAATGTTCTGTCCTCTATGACATGCTGTCTCATTTTCCGTCCTCTATCTATGACATGCTGTGTAACGTCCTCTATGTTCTCAATCCTCACCCAGACTGAAGCTAGCGGTTTCCTTGTTGTTCTCGTCTCTCGCCTGTATGTGCACATCTCGGGCCGCCTCAATAAACAGGGGCTCGTTTTCCTTGGACACAATGTCCTCGACGTACCGGGACTTGACAAACTCAGCTTCACCTGCGACCTTCACCCCTGATGGAGTTATCTTTAGCTGTCCCATACCATCCTGCCACAATACATACAACTGTGCAGACTTTGAAATGAACAGATTGTTTTCAGCTTTTTTAATTTTGAATTCTTCAGTGCACAAATCACTGACCATCTATTAGGCAACTGACAACATTGGGCAAAATCTCATCATATATACTTAAGACTAAATATAGCTTGTGTCAGCTGAACACAAATTGATAAGGAGAGTGATATGTCTTCAACAAATCCTGACTGATCTCACACGAATGATATCATACCTTCGTGATTATATTGTACACCTATGCATATTTTGCAACAAAAATGATTTTGCCTACTTATGAGCAGTCAAGAGCGTCATTGAATTGCTTTTGCTGAATCAACAGGGGACAGCTAATGATTCAGGCTTGTTGCAAGGTATTAATAATACTGGTAATCTGATCGTGGTATCAAAACGGTGACTTGGTGCGATCTGAATGTCAGTTCAAATGCAGTTTTGCCAAAACCGTTGCAAACAATATCGAATGAAACATTGTACAAAGATGCTGAAAAATTCACTCTAAACAGAAGCCCAGACACACAGTTGACGTTTATTATAATAAAGTAGTTTAATAAAACAAATAAATTGCATTCTTCAGATTTGTTGACATGATTTCAAGGGTGACATGCTCACAGTGGGCCAAGTGTTGCGGCATAGTGGGAAAATACTCAGTGTGGGCATGCACTGTGTGCTCAAGTCTCTACAAGCCTTTTTGTTGAAAGAGGTGTGCACTATAATCAAGAGATTATTGTGTTTCAAAACGAATATAGTTCAAAATATACTCAACAGCTATGGATCACCTAACATATATCAATATATCAATATTATTAAATAAATATTGGATAATACTAGGGCTGTAACGAATACACTATGTGGCGAATATGATACGTATCATGAATATTAGCTAACGAATACGAATAATTATTCACGAATACAATATTGTAGTTAGTGCACAATATGGAACGCCCATGTTGAGAGTTTTGATTTGTCACAGCAATAACCAGTGATCTCATGACACTCAAATTTGGTATGTAATAGTTATAGTCGACAGTACCACGTGCAGTCTTGGCAAACTAACATGACTTGCTAAACTTGGGCTACCACAATGCTAGTACATATTCAATCCTTGCATATCTCACTTTCCAAAAGTACACAAGGGTTCAAGTAAAACATGCCCCCTTCAAAAAATCGTAAATATTCGTTAATATTCGGTTCTGGTGACCACGAATAACAAATTGAATTCATGAAGGGCTACAGTTCGATTCACCGAATATGCGAGTGAATCGTTAAAGCCTTAGATAATACTGTGTTTCATGATGAATAAGGACCATTTTCACTGTTTTTGGTCATCATTATTGTGCACATACTGTATTAATAGTAATTACCTGGCCTGTGTAATCTCATAAATGAAATATTAAGGTAAAACAAAACATTTTCGTTTGTAATTTTTTTTTCACAATAGTTAACATCACGTATGTTTTACTTACAATGGAGAAGTTCATGACTCTGAGGATCCAGATGGTGAGAGCCAGGTTCATGATCATCACCACCATGAGGAAGAGGATGAAGGCGTACAGACACCGCTTCCGCCAACCATAAATTCCCACAGGCTGCGACACCGGGGTGTACTCCGCAGTAGTCGACCTTCCGCACCCCATATCGCCTCGCTGGAACAATGACAGCATGGATGGATAGTCAGATGCATAATTATAGTAATGACTGCCCAGAAAATTACATTTTTTCAAAACATTTGATCAAACAGGATCACAAAGCAATATGGTATAAACACGATAAACAGTCTCATTTATTAACCATTATTGACATAATTCTTTCTATCAGTTTACTGTGGCATATACCTTCTAGAGACATACTTCACTGGTCCCTTTATAATGACACTTCATATCTAATATAAGTGAGTGAGTGAGTTTAGTTTTACGCCACACTCAGCAATATTCCAGCTATATGGCGGCGGTCTGTAAATAATCGAGTCTGGACCAGACAATCCAGTGATCAACAGAATGAGCATCGACCTGCGCAATTGGGAACCGATGACATGTGTCAACAAAGTCAGCGAACCTGACCACCCGATCCCGTTAGTTGCCTCTTACGACAAGCATGGGTTACTGAAGATCAATATTCTAACCCGGACCTTCACGGGTACATCTAATATAAAAACAAAAGGTAGTTATATCTCCTTCACACTTTTGTAAATGGTTGCTGTTAAATAAATATGTAATCAAGAGCACTACCTTCTGGACAATAGAAATAATTTAGTTAACAATACAGTAAACTATGGTTACATGAAACTCAAAGAGCTACTAATTTTAGTTAATTAAAACCTTAAAGTTGGGTACACAAAGTATGTGATCTAGGTGCGTTGTTTGACTTCTAAGCATGGTGTGTTGGAACAGGTTAGATCGCTCACTTTGTGTGCCATACTCTGAACGCATGGGTTCAAATCCCAGATGGGACGGACCCAAAAAACTACTATAATTTGTACTAAACATAGAAATGGTAATGCCAATATATTAATGTTATAAGAAACAACAACACTTTATTATAACCATCGTTCTTGATAAGCATGTTTCCTGTTAATATAAATTATGGTGTCCGAACTTTCCAAAATCTCAGGACATCCCTTTAAGTATCATGTTCTTCAAATTCTCGTATTCTCCATGATCATAATCTTGTTCCTATTCTTAATTGAATCATTCAAATCAACAGGATATTCCTAATTTCAAATCATTATTCAATTTTTTACAGTTAGTTTCTGTTATTTCATAACACATTTTATTACCTTAGGCCCATGGCAGGAGAAATACTGTCCCCAACTTAATGTAAATGATGATTGAGTATTACCCTGAATAAGAAAACACTTAAAAATCATCATGATCATTGCTTGATAATACTATTCCCCATACACCCGATCTGATATCTGGATCTCATGCGTGTTGTGCACAAATACAGAATTTATGACAAGAAATCTTTTATAGAAATTCAACCAGAATTCTTAATACCACATGGCTCCAATACAAGATGGAAGCAATTCTCTACATGTATGCAATATCCATAACCGTTGTAATTACATTAAATAAAGAGGCACAGTCATGAGTTTACCACAGGCAATTTCCTGCGCCCTGGCAATAGCTCTGCTGATTCGTACTGCATGACCTGCTGGCAGCCATCTTGGCTGATCACAACACCACAAAGGCTGTTGTAGCCACATCATTCATGTATTATTCTTGACATCCACAGAATAAATCAGTGTTGCAGCAGGTAGATATGTCAAATTGCAAAAGGTTAAAAATATATTACAAAAAGTCTAAAAAACCAATGCAACCTAAATAATCGGAAAAGCTGAGGCACTTAATGCATGTTTAAAAAAAACATGAATCATCTTGATGATAACATCTGGAATCAGTTTGTTTTGTGTACATTTTTTGTTTGTGTACATTCTGGTTGAAAAACGCTATGAGAGTCTTACTGTTATCAGCAGTTGAATATAAATAGTACCTGTGTACATCTGTCTGTGAAATGACTGTGGCACAAAATACCAATGGAATTTTTCCCATCTCATTTGATTTCCATGGTCCTTGACACAGCATCCAAGCAAGTATATCCTGACAAATACCGTTTTCCAAACAACATCATTCATGCACATGTGTCTTTTACTGTTGCCACAATTAGGCTCACATAACACACAGCCTAGTAGACGCAATGCATAGAATGTGTGTAGTTGTGCAGAGAGTAGCACTGGCTGTAGGATATTACACTAATGCTTAGCCTCTGAATATATATAACTTCAATAGAAACAAGCAAGTAAATGTAAATTGAAAAGGAGCTCCAGGAGACGGGAACCAGACCTGTTGAAAATCTAGAAAGCTTCATTTAGAGCTCTATCATTACATCAAGGGTTGCCAAGAAGGGAAAATATGTTTGAGTGGCAAACTAGCTGCAGGTATGCTAGTTCCATGTCTACAGTTACAAGGTATACCAACGTCTTTCAAACACACACTGACATTCATGACAATTAGCGGTTTGCCACATGTCACAGTGATATTAACAACCCAAAGTAATTACTCCTCCTAATTACCTGAATCTGCAACTAAGTAACACTTGCGATATTGTCAGTGCATCCCAAGTGACCTTTGTAACATGTAACCCTATGTATTATGCATGAAAAAAAAGTTGTTATCATGCATTCAAATGCTATGTATTGGAGTCACCATGCAGGGTTAATTAACAATTAACACCAAAACGTTAATTATAAGCTGTTTAATTTGATCATGTTGATTGACGTGTTTCATACAGTAAACTTGATGTCTCTATCATGATACTTTGAAAAGCCTTTGATCCACTTTATGATGACAGCTATATTCCTTCACAAGGCTTTCAGCTTTACAAGCCTTTCATAAGCCATATGGTTTTCTTTAGACTAATGACTAGTGTGTGAAATGAACATATTTTATAGAAAAAAAGCTCAAAGTAAAAAAAATAAAATAAAATGAAAAGAGCCCCTGAGACTGAAAATCTAGACTTGCCATATTTTCTAGACTTGTGTGGGCTTTCTTGAATATATTCGCTGCAGGGTCTGTATGACAGACTAGGTTTTCTAGACTAACAACTAGTCTCTGAAATGAACATATTTTACAGAAAAAAGCTCATATTAAAAAAAATAAAACATAATGAAAAGGAGCCCTGAGACTTTCTTCATTTTTTAGAGACCCTGAAGCTGTGGAAATCCAGACTTGCCACATTTTCTAGACTTGCTTGGGCTTTCTTGGATATATTTGCTGCAGGCAGTTCCTCCTGGATTCCTGGATTCCGTGATTTCGCGGTTGCAGAATAAATTGTGGAAAATACCTTTTCATGCAGAAAAACTCCTGGAGCCAGCTGTACCTTGAATGTCATGAAGCTCTAATCTAAAACATTTACAGCTTTGTGCCTAAGAATTAAAGTTTGAAATTCTTTAAAATATTGTTGTTTTTTCATGTATATAAAGGCAGAATCTTTTGCAGAATTTTGAAAAATGGGATGCACGCAGAATTTACTTAAATTTACTGGGGAATTCTTAAAAATTTGCCGTGGAATCCAGGAGGGACTGTACAGGGTCTGTATGAGAGAATAGGTTTTCAGTTTGTTTTGTATACATTTTTTTTTAGTTTCCTTAAACCTATTATTAAATGAGAATTTTTTGAAAATAGCAATCTACAGTCAGAAGGCTTAGTTTGTTGTTTTCTAACATCAGATCGTAACTCTGTCAGCCATATTAGAAACACCACAACTGGTGTCATTCATACTAGAATTGTTGGTTCAGAGGGGATGTCAAAAGGCCATGACACTTTAAAGCAGGGGTACATAGATTGTCGCCAAGTTGTTGATTGTTGTTTAGCTTTGTTTTTTTATGTGTGTGTGTGTGTGTGAGAGAGAGAGAGAGTGAGAGTGTGTGTGCATGTGTGTGGCCATGTGTTTGTATTCTTTGTGCCCATGTGTATATGTCTGTACGTGTGTCCATGTGTATGTATGTTTATCTGTTATTCTCAGCATTTCCACATCTTGCAGTTATTAGCTTAGTTTGACAATCTGTGTTTTCCAAATAAACCTCATAGTTCACTACATGGCATGCTGTCAACTCTCCTACATCACTTTAATGGCTGTTTATTTGATTTCAGCAATGCGCTACATCAACTGCAAATATATCTCAAGGAAATAACCCTTCTCTTTTGACAACAAAGTATTACATTTCCAAGCTCAGAAACATATCCAACATTCTTGTCAACAGAATCAAAAAGATGTTCACAAAAAGATTCTGAAAGAGGCTTTTGAATTTACCCAGGCTGCTATAAACTTGCAGGCAACTGTGGAAGCTGCGGAAACTCCAAGTTAAGGTTGACGCAGCATTTCATCACCAGTCAACGTGTGAACACCAGCGCAAGTGCCAGTCATTCCACAATCGTTAAAACGGCATAATGGCTGCCTGGCAAGAAGGGCACAGGGCCATCTGTCAACATGGCTCTAACTAGAGGTACAAAAAAGGGTTGTGTGATCTATCTGCGGCAGGATCACACAGCTCTGAGTAAACTTGGGCCACGTGGCAACGGGAGTCATGACAAATGGAATGTCGCCATGGCAGCAGATCTAAGAACTGGGGTACTTGTATACATACCAACGTGTAGGTCTTGATCATGTCAATGTATAAACAATTGATGTCCTCATTTGGTTTGTTCTTCATTTAGCAGACGCTGATATATCCATTGAAAAAATATTAAAATATCTCAAAAGTAATGTTATGAATGTCTCATACAAAAAGACATTATTTCATGTTTCTGGTTTTTAATAACGTTTAATTAATGTTTTATCAATAAATGTCAGCATAAATAAATTGCTATTTGCATTTGCCATTAGTACCAATGTATTTTTGTTGCCTGTCCCTTCCTTGACGGATTAGAAAAATATAACAATATCATACAAATTTAAAGAACTTAATAAATGAACATATAAATTCCATTATCAAATGTATTCTGTCAACTACAAACTTATCAAAACATGAACAGAGTCTTCGTAGAATTAAATACGCTCGACTCGTAAATTTACCTGTTCATTATGAACCACAGGGGTGGAAATAACCCATTGCCCGACGCCCGAGTCCAGTGTTTTTTTCTTCGGGCAAGCAAATTTGTATATCACACTGTACCTATGTCCAGTTGATATTCCAATGTTAATTATGTTGTTTATTTAAAAATCAAGAAGAAAACGTCCAGTATAGTGGAAAAATTATCAGGGCAAGTGATTTTACATGTGCCACTGTACCGGAGTACACTAGCAATTTTAAAGTTATTTCCACCCCTGAACCATTGTAAAACTCCTGTACTTTATACCGACTTAGTATTTATCTGTTTCCTCCTGAACTACTGGAGCCAAGCAATTAATTTCAAAATAAAGACCATTGAGGACCAAGCTAATAAGTTGGCAACCAGTGACACATTGTATGTGCAGATCCTATTTTATTGCATACCAAGGCCCTATTAAAAAGTAAATGTTATGGTTCTGACAAAAAGTTCTGACTAATCTCAAAATGAGGTTGGATAGTTAGGGATTCTATTTTCTGTTTTATACAATTCATAGCATGTAAAGTATCCTGTTTTGTCAATGAATTACAAAGGGAAACAGCAGTTACAAATGGAAGTCTGTGTAGATTTTAACTTAAACCAAAGAGACAATCACAAAACTTCTTATATATTTTACCTAATATACCAGTTCTCAAAATAAGTAATCCAATATGAATCATGTGAAAAGCATATTGCTGTATACCGTTAATACCATGCAGTCCTATTGCATATGTTAAATCACATCCCATTGGCAGAACTTTTATTTAGAGTTTTTGTACAAACAGGGGATTTTGGAATAACAAGCGATAGACTAGTCTGTCGTACAGACCCTGAAGCAAATATATCCAAGAAAGCCCACGCAAGTCTAGAAAATGTGGCAAGTCTAGATTTCCACAGCTTCAGGAAAATGAAGAAAGTCCCTGGGCTCCTTTTTATTGTATTTACAATTTTAATTTAAGAACTTTTATTTTCTGAAAAAATATGTTCATTTCAGAGAATAGCTGTTAATCTAGCGATAGACCTAATGACAACTGGATAATATTAATATTTTCCTGTTTTCTTTGCTTTTAAACATTCCAATTTAACTTTTTTGTTACTGACCTCCAGACATATATATACGTTGATATCATCATAATCAAAATCTTCCTGTCACATTTTCCTGTTATAGGTTGTTTATTATAACATGAACATTTGTATATTTGTGGCTTATTTTATAGTAGTGAACCAACTCAATCTTGTTACAAAAATATCCTTCACCAAATGTTCATTATTTACTGTTCCTTGTAGGCTCACACAACTACTACACTGCCCGATATACAACAAAATCAGATCAACGCTTTTAGAAACATGTATAGCCAACTGTGATAGTTTTAACGATCTTAATGATTTACAGAAAATGTGGTTTATTCTCTCCAGCCCATCTGTGATGTATGTGTGTGCCCAAACCTGCAATATTCTATTACAAAAACAAAAGAGTGTTTAATATGGTTCTTAGTTTTAGTATGTTTGTAAATATCTTTGTATTATTCTCTTACTGCATTATATCATGTATTTTATCTTGTTTTAATAGTCTCTCGTAATCCTGAATGGGTGGCTCACACGTTTATGTATTTTATGTGTCTTGTATTCTATGTATATAATAATGTGAGGTGAGACTTAAATAAAATATCTATCTCACAACCCCCACCCCCACAACAAACACACACTTTCTGTATTCTGTAAATAGTACTATCACTGTCTAAACTAATTACATAACATATGCTGCCTGCCACACAACTTGTTACAATCTATAAATACCTTTCTTAACAAGAGTCTGTAAACTCCTGACAGTGCCCCTGGAAATCACTCTCCATACAGCCTTGCTCTGCTGCACCAGGGTTGGCAAATTACCTTCAGAATTTCACAGTTACAAATGATCTTGGTTGCATTTTTTAAAACTTTGTTCACAGGAATAATATGGACTGGAACTTTCCTGTGAAATGTAATATAAATCTACAACTTGCAAATTCTAAGTTGTCCACCACCACTATAAACTTGGGTAATGTGTTGTTAGCCAAACTGCAGGCTAACGCTTAGTCTCTGAAAATATTTAATTTTGACAGAAACAATTAACTCCAATTAGAAAATTATTAAAAAGTAACCCCAATGTGAGTGTACCAAATGAAAATTTAGACTTTCTTTATTGATTTTGCAAGCATAAATATTTTCTTTCAGGAACTCTGAGATAGCCTCATAAAGGTACTCCCATGTTGTTGAATGTCTTAACACTAGCCTAACAATTAGTCTCTGAATATATATATAATCTTAATAAAATGAATAATTCTATTTACAATGAAACAAAGCACCAGTGCCATGGGAGAATGGGCTGGGTAGAAGAGAAAATAATGTGGTTCAGGGACTGTGAGACAGACTAGTCTGATGGTCAATTCAAACACTACACTAAATATTCACCTGCTTGCAAACATTCACCAAGATTCATCTGTGGTACATCAGAAATCCACACAGACTGAGAACAAAAGGTTTGTCATAAAATGTCATTTTGGAAGCTCAGGATGTTCTGACACAGGGGGTCTGTGAAGTCATTACCAGTACCACAAACCTAAACACTAACACCTGCATGAAGTGATGGGGAGTTTGGAGGAGGGGGGTGAGTTGATGGGGGCGGGGCGATGGTCAAGACGCCCTGATTCCTCCAACGCCCTAGGGCACCTTTCATCTCGGCACAGTGTTGGGCGTGAGATGGTTTGAGAATGAACAGAGCCGACATGTGTTCTGCCTTGCTCCTCACCAAGAACATAGCTGCAACTTTCTTTCAACTCCAACGTTCATTCTTAACCAATATCTCATCCTTCCTTCTAATTGCGTAGTGTGTTGGAGATAGCCTAGAATTACATCCAACCCTAAACTTCATAAAGAAACAAATTGCGTTCTGTGTGATAAGGCCTACCATCAAAATATCCCTCGTGCTACCTCCACCTTCCCTTCAAACGCTCACCACAGCAATATATAACATAGCAGGAATATCTGCCAAGAAGCGAAAAGGTCACGAAAATCTTGAAACCATAAAAGTTTAGCACCGAAGTCTTTAGTTCCAAATACACCTCATAACGAGATTGAACGTCCCCTAAGGTATGGTATCTCTATATTCCATCAACACACACAAAAGGGAGGTAGATTCAGGGCACTAACCTGTGCTGTCTAGCTACTCCGGCAAGTTGGTATCACGGCATCCATGTTCCCAAGCTGGTATCTGTAAACACTCTCTCTCCTCTCGCCTCTCTGTGCTCCCCCTCCCGTCTCAGATGCTGCGAGCGGAGGAATGGTGCGAGCGGTCAGCACAAGGCGTTCGTAACACGATCATGACGATGCCAGGTTTTGACAGATGAAAGCAGGTTACTCACGGGTACGCAACTGACGCTTAATTTCGAAAGAGCACAGTTTTATAATAAACATTTTTTTTTTTATAAAAAAAACTTAAAAGGTCCTTACCATGATATACGATATAGGTACACCGTAGGTGAGACATAATTATTAATTAAATTCCTGCCGCAAAAGCAGATCTTGTACTTGAAAAAACAGCTGGGTGAAGATAATTACCCGAACTTGTCTGTCGCACAGTCCCTGAACCGCATTATTTCCCGTTCTGCCCAGCCCTTTCTACAATGCTAAAGCCCTAAATGAACAAGTCTACATTCTGAAATCTCCCTTGTCACTAGGGATCCTTTTCAAATTAAATGGAATTATTTGTTGTTGTTTTTCTATCAATATTATACATATTCAGAGACTAAGCGTTTCTCTATACCCGAACCGAAGGTGCAATCAGCATGCAAGGTGTATAAATATATTCAATATCTTTGATTCAAAACATGGATATTGAGACACAAACAGATTTGAAATCATATATGGATTTAACACGAAATATATTTCCAAAATGTCGTGGTAAGGCGTGTATCACTTCGTTTCCATGTCGAACAAAGGCGCCAAATTAACTCAGCGATCGCCTCGTAATATAGATGGCCGAAGTGTATCTTCAGTCGTGTGTGAGTATGGTTTTACGTCGCTTTTAGCAATGTTTCAGCAAAATCACGGCGAGGGACACCAGAAATTGGCTTCACACAATGTATCAATGTGGGGAATCGAACCCGGGTTTCTTCAAAGTAACAAGCGAACGCTTTAACGACAAGGCTTCCCCAAGGCACTCTTTCTCTTGCAGATCTGTTGGTCTTCACAGTTTTGGTGTTTAACTTTAATCCCTTCCCGGTGTTCTGTGCAGGCACGACAAACACTATAATAACATCTAGTCTCTCACATGAACATATTTTACATTAAAAAAAACGGTTCCTAAAATATAATTATAAAATATAATGAAAAGGAGCCCAGCGATTTTCTTCATTTTCATTTATATTTTTTGCCAAAACTGTGGAAATCTAGACTTGCCACATATTTTAGACTTGCATGGGCTTTTTATGCCAGGGTCTCCTATCAAAACAAAACTGACAAGCATGTCTGGAATCAATTGTTTTTGTATAGTTAATGCTTATGCGCCTGAAGAAATCATTTGTTATATCTGTAACCCATGCATCATGCCACGTTTATAAAATCATATGTGCGCTTGTTTTTATAGTTTTTGACCGGAAAACTAAGGTATTCAAAGGTAAAATTTGGTCATATGCCTGGTCGTATGTGATTGTGACGTAAGGTTGGAGTAACGACACACTAGAAACGACGCCATAGCTGAAGATGTTTTACGTCATGATTGTTTTTTCTTAGTCGGTGGTCGTGATTAGTAATTTTTTGTAAATGGACGAAGGGAGATAAATTCGTACTGATAGGTAATAAATAATCCTTTTGTTCGAGATCTATTCGTGTTTATATTACTCGCCCGTGGAAGATACTGCAGTGTAATATTCTTACGGCAATATTACGCTAGTGTAATACCGCTAGACGTATGACGTCATAATGGTTTACATTTATGACGTCACAATGCTAATAACTCTGTCACAAAAGCTGAGCACTGTAGGCAGTTTCTATCAATTTAAGTTGGAGAGTAATAAACAGAATTATTACCCATATGGTGAAACATAACCAGTGTCATATATATCATATGTGCACATGTATCAGCCGTAGCAGGACCAGTCCGTAGACGTTTCAGGCTGTCTACTACTATGTTGTTGTAGGCGTTGGTTGTTGTTGTGTGTTGGCGGATATTCCTCAAAGTGACAACGCAAGTCCGTCTGCGGGTCCACAACGTTTTATTGTGAGCTGTGTTTAACTAGGAGCTTAGTGCTCAGCTCCCAGTTCTAAACTAACTAACCAACGCTCATTAATTTGACTATATCTCAGATCTGATAATCTGTCTTCCTTAAATGGTATTGGCAAGACCATGTGGAACCTCGTCCACAACCCACATGCCTCTCGTGCAGTGGTCATCAGGATCATCCTACTCTTGATTAAGCGATAGCCTAATAAGACCATAGCAGAAAGTCACAGTCTCATTTTCAGGGTATGTTTAATCATGCACCCATTATCACCAGCGGCCAAACACGATGACCTAGGATGCCTGATATCGTTTGACCTCGTTACATCCCCATGCGGTGTTAGCTAAGGGGAGGAAGGGAGACTATCGATGATAAACCCAGCCGGGAATTATTATCCCGGCGCACACTGCGCGTGGCACACAGTATACTGTATGTGGTATACAGTATATTGCACTCGATATACTGCATACTGCATGCGATACATGTGCTCATATCACTTTTGCCTAGCAAACCATTTCTTCTGTATTTCGTCGTCTGTGACGTCATTAAACAATTGAACGTGACGTAAGTTAACAGGGCCGTCACACTTGCTTACCGTGTTTTACTGCACAAATGTACATGAATAAAATGGATAATAAAGAAATTATTACACTCGAGCAAGTGTGTCATACAACCTGGTCATATGCTGGTGTATGACACACTTGCTCGTGTAATAATCTCTATTACTATACTCGCTTCCGTGAAATACCATTTTTATTACAAGAGTTAATGATTTCGTATCTGACGAGCTTAAACGAACCAAAAAGCATATATAGTACATGTACTATTAAACATCGTTGTGTCGAACCTGATAGGACCTAATCAAAATCTTTTCTGTGGTTCGCCATTACTATATTACTAATATGAATACGCAAGGACCTAGCTTTTACTTCTAGACTGTGTAGTAGAATTTATCAAGTAGTAAAAATCGCTTCGGAAAGTAATATCACCCGTAAGGGCACGGAGATGAAATTTTCTGTAATTCTCACTGAGCAGTATCAGCTTTGGTTCCTAATTATTAGTTAGAAGTTTCATCATTGTTGGCGAAGGGGGCCCAAAGTAACGTACGTGACGTGATATTCACTCAGAACATATCACCCGTAGCCCACGTTGTCTTAGAAACACAATGATATGAAATGGGAAATGAGAGACTAAAATGAAACATCATGCATGTAGGAAATGTATTAGTTACAGAAAAAACCATTACTTCCAGTAGATTTTTTTTCTTATTGAAAGGATCACGATTTGGCTGAAATACTGCCAATGTGACTATAAGCTTAACTCACTCACAGCATTATAGAAGTTTCAGTGTGGCCCCTGGGCATGCTGCGCTAGCGCTCCATCCGAATTATATAACGCAAGCACCGATTGGGTCGAACTTTTATCCAATGGCATCCATGGTCACATCCACGTCAACATCCGCCGGCAACATGGAGGCCAGAGCAAGCTTTGGCATTTTGGTGTTGTTTTGTATTTGTTTGACAACTGTAGGACAAAACTACAAGAAAAAAGAGGTACGTGCATTGCACATTCAGATGTAGAACACAAAAAGCAAATGCAGAGTTATCGTCATCAAGCACCTCCTTTTTGCTGGTCGTGAATACAAATTGCCTGTCTATACCTCCAGATTTCGCGCACACTCGACAGCAATATGCAGGAAATAATTTGGATAGAATGAAGTAAGCACTCCACTCACTTTTGGTATTGCGGTTAGCACTGCGTGGAGGATCGAATTCACTTTGCCAGCTTGAAGCTGCACTGGGCTAATGAGTTAATCTAATTAGCCAGAACATTACCACGCCACATGGGCTGTCGCAAATAGTTAGACTATAGTTTGGCATGAAATGCATGTGGACCCGTTTTTTTGTAAATATCTCTTCATCCAATGACCCAATCGATCTCAAACTGTGCAAGTGGATGTTTTGTCAGACAACCTAATCACATTGTAAATCATCGAGTTTATGCATTTGTATTAAAGAATCTGTCTATGTAACTGTCAACAAAATATACAGCAGATTGCAGACGGTTTGCACAGGGAGGGAGCCAATGACCTTTAACAGCGGCAGTGTTGGGTTATAAAGGTCAACGTTCGTCAATGTAGGTCAGCTATGTACGTTTCATGTAATCCGACACCTTATAAATTGGTTTGCAACGTTTGCTCTCTTTTAAAAAAAATACAACACATTTCTCATGAAACGTTTAGCATCATCTGAATAAGCTTTCATGATGACAGCTAGAAGTAGTCAATGTGAATGATCCAAACGGTCTATCACTGTGCAGTGCAAAGGTAACTATCATGAACTGCACGTGCATTTACCTTTATGACCCAACAGTGACGCTGTTACAGGTCATTGGCTCCCTCCCTCGGCAAGCAGTCTGCGTTCTGCTGTTTATTTTGTTGACAGTTACATAGACAGATTCTTTAATAGAAATGCATAAAATCGGTGATTTACAATGTGATTAGGTTGTCTGACAAAACATCCACTTGCACAGTTTGAGATCGATTGGATCATTGGATGAAGAGATATTTAGACGGCACCTAGGAACTATTCTGTGATTGTGATGTTGACAGCTCTACAGGCACAGAGACAGTGCTCAGTGTGTAGGTGAGTCACCATTGGAAGGATGCAGGAACTTATCCAAAAGACTTTCCTAAGTTTTGTAGTACAGTTATGTACTCTTGTTCAGTGTAATTTTCTATATAGATAATAATATTAATAGTCCCTATGCTTTCTGAAATAAAGCTGATGTGGCAGTTACAGTAAAATAACATTTAAGATGTACAGTTTGGCTTTTCTTTTACTGAGATGATGGTTAGAATGGTTTTATGCATGTTCAGTAATTTTCCAGCAGGATTGCTGCAATATCATGATAAGGATATGGCTCATGTTATGATAAGCTAACTCGTGTGAATATCCAGCTATGTGTTGATCTACTGACTACTGAGGCAATGTTTGTTGGGTTCCAGGCAGGCAAACGAGGAGTATACCATCCTGGCCAACTCTTGGCGCTATTCCCAGCAGTTCTCCAACAAACTCTTCTTTGCTCTGGTTGACTATGATGAGGGACCAGATGTGTTCCAGAATGTGAGTGTTGCCTTGGTTACCATTATATTTACAGCATTATCATTGGTGGGCATACACTTACAACTATGTTGATATAGATATTTAAAATACCAACAAAGGCTTTTGCCTAATTCTGCATTCACTAACCAATTCTGAGTCCATTTGATATTTAAATAAATGAAATTACTCTTAAATGTTGTTAAAGGATTGACTTTGTAAGTTGTGCATTTGTCATACTATCTTACTGTTATATTTGTCTCTTTCAGTTGAAGCTGAACACTGCCCCTGTGTTTATGCACTTCCCTCCTAAGGGCAAACCCAAGAAGGGAGACTCTCTAGACATAAACAGGTATGTATAGGGTCTACAGTAGTGGTGGTCCTATTAATTGAAATAACCGATTAATTGAAATAATCGAAGATTGGTCGCAGTGACTTAACGACCAAGCAATCGAACATGTTTTCTCATAATCGAACACAACCAATCTTGGAACACTTGTTTGCATCAACAATATTTTTCAAAAGGTTGCTTTTGTCTGTGTCATTAAATTTACATTTCATAAGCACAACAAGCTCGTTCCAAGTCATGATTGAATTTATCTTAAAGAATCCAGGAAATCTGTGTTCCTAACATACTAATAATCCTTTAAACATGCAAAATTTGCAAATGGATTTTGTTTAATTTGCAAAAAACCCAAATTATTACATGTTTTTTCTTTATTTTTTACAAAGACAACAGGAACATTTGATAAATGACGCTAACCAATTATTTTGATGATTGATCGGTTGTAATGGACCAATCATCAATTATGAGATTTTAACCAATTCCCACCACTAGTCTACAGCATGGTTATCAGTTGACACCATGAGGATAGAACCAGATGTCAGCACTTCATTTAGTACCAGTTATTCATGTTACTTCAGTTAGCAGGATAACTACTAGCTGCCAAGATATTCCCAAGTCTTGGAACCCATGGTGTTTCCTGATTGGAATTGGTTCTCACCAACCTACTGGTCATACGCGAAGGAGTTTGTTGGTTCTGATGGTCCTATTCAGTGACAAGGTGGCTCCCGTGTCAGAGTATCCTGATGGCATGGGTTGTTGCTTATTATATCAATCACTGGATTGTGTGGTCAAGATTTCATTAAGCTGACTACCGTCACCTAGCTGGAATATTGCTGTGCGTGTGTTGAACAACAACTGGATAAATACAAGTCTTGAACTAGTGTCCAATCCTCCTGTCTCATGTATGTTTAGCATTGATGAGAGTAGAAGCTATAGGTATCTCATTTCCATGATGCCATGTCAGGTCCAAGATGGTATCATTTCAGTTCCGTTTGTGATAATTCCTTGACACCAATTACAGACTGATTGGTAATTTGTACTTTTTGTTTCACATGCAACATGTTTGTTCCAGGGTCGGTTTTGCTGCAGAACAGATAGCAAGATGGGTCGGTGAAAGAACAGATATACAGGTACCTCTTATAAATGATTAGGTATAAGCTTTCTACAGGGGTGGTAAGTCACTGCTGATTAACTGCACAAGTTTGGTATTGTATAACTAAACAGAGCTTCAGAACATATATACAATGCATGATTGTGTTATTGGATAATAATGTACCATGTATTCTCTCATATAAAGCAACCCGTGAAGATCCGGGGTAGAATAGGTCTTCAGCAACCCATTCTTGTCATAAAAGGCGACAATGCTTGTCGTAAAAGGCGACTAATGGGATTGGGTGGTCAGGCTCGCTGACTTGGTTGACACATGTCATCGGTTCCCAATTGCGCAGATCGATGCTCATGCTGTTAATCACTGGATTGTCTGGTCCAGACTCGATTATTTACAGACTGACGCCATATAGCTGGAATATTGCTGAGTGCGGCGTAAAACTAAATTCACTCACTCACTCTCTCATATAAAGAGAGGATTGACAAATAAGCAAGTTAACACTGAGTGGTTTTCTTTCAGATCCGTGTATTCCGTCCTCCGAACTACTCAGGTACCCTGGCCTTGGCCCTCCTCTTCTCTCTCATCGGAGGACTGCTGTACCTGAAGCGCAACAACCTTGAGTTCCTGTACAACAAAACATCATGGGGAATTGGAGCATTGGTATGTTGCTGGTGGATAGTGTTGAGTGATGTTGAGTTTGCAGGGTGGTAGAGTGTTGAATGTGGTTGGGTTTGGCAGGAGGACATTGATGGGATTGCAATGGGGGTGGGGATGGCAATGGGGGTGGGGATGGGGATCGGATTGCATTGGGTGGGTAACCACAGGGTTTGCTCCATCATTGTTTGACTTTGTTGTTATTTGTCACACTAGGGTCATTGAGCATGTGTTGAATATTCCGAGTGAGCCGGGGGTCATCTTGTACCATCACATTATGTTATGTTTCATTGATTAAGATTATGTCATCCCCATATACAGGCTTGTTGGTTTCACCCAACTTCACATCAGGCTCTTTCTTCCATATTATTCCATGATTACAACTTGAGTACTGTTCAAAGCTATATTATTACCAACTCACTCTGGCAGTCGCTCACTTTCTTTTCGTTCTGATTGCAAATGTGATCATCTCTCTGTCCAGGCTGTGATATTTGCCATGACATCGGGACAGATGTGGAACCACATCCGTGGCCCTCCTCTCATGCACCGCAACCCTCACACTGGAGCCATGGTAAGTATTTAAAAATGATTTCTTTTTAGGAATTTCACACATGTGTATTAGTTCTTGTCTTTAAATTGTTATCCTGACAGGCATTTTCTGTTTTCATGTCATCAGTAATTTGTCTGTGGTATTGCCATATTCTGCATGTGCTGCATTAAAACACCCATCGTGTCTGTGTAGAAGTATTAATGTATATTTGAACATTGTTTGCACTGATAGAGAAATATGATATTGTGGATGTATCATGATACTTAAGCATTGCTTACAGTCAGCATTTGTTTGCATGTTTGATGAAACCGTTGTTTTAAATTTGCCCCAGTTTTCCTGGAAGGTTTGTATCATGTTTAAGTTGCTCCTATTGTGGGATCCTCCCTGTTTCTGTGATAAAGACAGCAGCTGTGTTGGCTCGTCAGAATAGGAGAAGACTGGGATGCTCGCTGTGTATCTACTTGTTGCCATGACAACTAACTTATTACTTGTGATTTCTTAACTTTGAAGTCGCTTGTTACTGTATTTCTAATTCACAATGAATACAATCTTCATTTAGTAATATACAGACATTTCTTAAAAAAAGTGTATACTTTTTGTTGAAAATGAGTACAAGCTAAATATAGTAAATGGCAAAAGAGTTTTGGAATTATTTCAGACATTTCCCCCCAAAAGAATTCTGAAAACTATAATGAACCTAACCATTCCTGTATACTAACAGTAAGCATTACAGTGTGTTCTTTCTTCGGTTTACTTCTGTTGAGGATACATTTTGAGTTTCATGTAGGACTTCTTTGATGGGCATTTTCCATGTAGGAGTTAGATCCGTATTCCTTCCTCATATGAGTTGAATTGATTGCTGTCTGACAGTTCACATTGTTGTGTGTTTGCAAGTAGATACACCATGCATGTAAATTCGTCTTTGCTTTTTGTGTTGTATGTTGGGGTGATTAAAAGATTTTGGGCAAAGTTCTAATTGTCATCTCATTGGGTAATAATCATCACCTAGGGGAAAAATATATAGGTACTGTTTTTCTTTTTTCAAAACAGTTGCACTAAATACAGGCCTGTCATATTTCTGTGTAAAGTCACAATTTTTTGGTTATGAAAATTTATGATGTTTAAATGCCAAACATGAATCATAAAGAGGTATTTGTTTTGCAAAAGTCTTTTCAGTCCTTTTCAGTCATTCTCCATTGACATGCTTGATATATTTTGGTCTTCAGAACACTTCCACTTGTTTTAACATCAATAAATGTCATAGCATTTAGCATTTTTACTAATTGGTGGCAAAGCATTAATCCAGTTATTGGTTCATTTCAAGACATAAATCACTTCTGAAAAACAGGGACACATGAGCCTCAGTCACCTGTCCAGCATTATGGTTCTTCGACCATATCATCATTGTCTGGCTCATCTTGGTTATATTTATGTCAACCCCCATATGCAGGCTTGTGGGTTTCACCAATGTTGTAAATGTTGAGCCATGCATCATTAGGGGCTTTCTCCCACATCAAATGAAGTATTGTTCACAGAGGCTCTAGTCCAAACTCACTTCTGAAACACTGTAAATCTGTATATCATGTACATCTAAGAAAATAACATTGATTGCAACATGTAAATCTGTATAATATGTACATCTAAGAAAATAACATTGATTGCAACATGTAAATCTGTATATCATGTACATCTAAGAAAATAACATTGATTGCAACATGTTCATTGTCTATTTTTGTTGCATGTATAGCTCTATGATTGTGTTTACACAAATAGGATTCATGTTTATACAGACTCTTTATTTAGAGGATTTATCTGATATACCACTGCAGGCCTTTCACGTCAAACTGACATTCCGTGCTATTACTGACGTAACTTTCAAAGTAGCATTAACCTATACTGTCTTCTGTGTTTGTGTCTTGTGAAACTCTATGTCCAATATTCAGTGGTCTGTTACCATTGTTACTGTATGTTTAAGCACTACATCCACGGCAGCAGCCAAGGCCAGTTCATCATGGAGACGTACATCGTTATGCTTCTCAGTATCCTTGCTCTACCCACTAGTGGTGGTCCGATTAATTGAAATAATCGAAGACCACTGCAAACTTATCATTTACTGGTCCTTATGAATTTTTACTAGCCAGGGACCACAGGACCAGCGTAAATTTCGCACACTGGAAATGGCTTCAAAAACAATTTTGTTGTGTAATTCTGTATTTTACTTGAACATGACAAAATCATGCAGACAGTGTGACACCTGAATGTGTTTGTGACCTTGACCTTGTGTAGACACTGCTGTTGTGTTCGGCTTCATCCTGATGAACGAAGCTCACTCTCTCAAGGGGGACCCTGGGAAGAAGAGGAGTAAGTATTTGTTCACCTTTCAGCCAGGTTTCAAAGGAAGGATTTGTCTGAACAGTAGAATTGATAAAGTGATAAAATTACTTATTCTCTTTGATGATGCCTTTTTATCTCGTTCGACTTAAAGTTATAGGAGAGATGGAGGAGATAGTAATAGCAAGTTGCAATTCCACATTTAGCTTATTGAGAGTCCCTAACCAACTAGACCAATCAGTAGGTAATCTGTGTAAGTCCCTGCTACAGTTATGTGACATTCTGTATTTTCCTGTGTTACATGAACAGAACTGTAGAAGGGGCATATATTTATTGTTAACAATCATTAAAATCATTCCACTTTTGCTTGTTCTCTGATCTCCATGTTTATAATTTCACATCTGTGTCATTTTCTAAGTGCCAGAGCCATCTATTACTGCGAACAGGTTTAAAGCAACCTAAGCTGGTTGTTCCCAGGGGAATCTGGGTAGAGTAAGTCTCCAGTCATCTATGGTCATGCATGGATGTAATGGATTGGGTTGTGAGACTCTGTGACTTGGTTCAATGTGTCCTTGTATCCCAACAGTGTTGCTCATTGTTCATAAAATCAATAACCTGAATACAGGCTGCCCTCATTGCTGGAACAGTGCTGAGTGATCCGTAAAGAACTAAATATATAATACACTTGAAGACTTGATTATTGCCATGTTTCTTTAGGACTAATTGTATTGATTGTTTTGTGTGTTTTCTTTATAGTTTTGGCTCTGGTCGGTCTAGGGTGTGTGGCAATATTCTTCAGTCTCCTCCTCTCTGTGTTCCGGTCGAAGTACCAGGGCTATCCTTACAGGTAAGGCTTCAGCATCCCTAAGGATGTTCAGGGGTTGGCCTCAGTACTCCAGGAATGTTACAGTAGCTGACGATCTGTTTGTCACAACATAGCCTCTCAGCATTGTCCTGCCTGAGGGTGTTGATCTTGATAACCGCTGGATTTCCTGCCCCAGATTTATTCCGTGTTACGGCCTGTTGTGGAATACTGTTGAAAGGAATGTACTGCATTGTCACTGCAGATCACCAGATAGAATAGTCCGGCATTTCAGATTGTCATACAGCTTGACTATTAGTATCCATGGACTTGTGGGACACATGTGTATGTAGCTGTTGAGCTCATCACTGGTTTGTTTGAATATTCCTGCACTCTGATGATGTATCTGTGGGGGGTGTCAGGTTGGAATAGGTCCTCATCAACCTTTGCTGGTCATAAGAGGCAACTGAAAGGAGGAGGAGTAATAAGCTTTAGTGACTTGGTTGATATGATGTCATTGTCCCCGGAATAGTTGGGTCATTGCCTGATATAGCAAACACTGGATTTTCTGACCCAGACTGTTATTTACAGGCTTCTTTGTAGCTGGAATATTGCTGATGCTGTTTTGAGCACAAACTGATGAGGCAAGCTGTCATCCGACTTTCTGATTTTCAGACATCTGTAATTCCGATAGATGATGATGACCAAGTTGGATCAGACATGGCTCAGTTTACTGAGCCTACAGTGGCGTCAAGCTGTATACATAGCTTTGTGTTTCACATTGTTTGATTCAGTTTACTGAGCCTACAGTGGCGTCAAGCTGTATACATAGCTTTTGTGTTTCACGTTGTTTGATTCAGTTTACTGAGCCTACAGTGGCGTCAAGCTGTATACATAGCTTTTGTGTTTCACGTTGTTTGATTCAGTTTACTGAGCCTACAGTGGCATCAAGCTGTATACATAGCTTTTGTGTTTCACGTTGTTTGATACATATGGATGAGTAATATACTGGCACTTTCTCACTGTACTTTCTATGATTTCAGCTTCCTGTTCAAGTGAGATCAAGTCGTCCGTCTGAGGTTGCCTTCTAGCTGGAGCAGTAATATGGGGAAATAAATCAACAGCATGTCAGCTTGAGTGGTTGTGTGAGTGTGTGTGTATGTGAGTGTATGTATGTTATATCTGAGGGAAGGTGTATTTCTTGGAAACATGGGTTATTGATCAGCTATCACTGACCATGCATTATGTTGTGATGACCACAAATCAGTTATATAATTTTCCTTCTGGCTTGTCCTTGTCCAGGACTGCTACCTTGATGGCTGTTTGCCTCCACATCACCTTAAAGATGCCTTTTCCAGAATCATGTGGGCATTTATCCATGAAATTTAAGTCTTTGTTTAAAGCTTTAAAGTAAAAAGTTGGATTTTAATCCATTATGAATATTAAATAGTTTCTTATGGTCAAGAAATGATTGTTTTGTATGATTTCCTCTTCAAAGGACTCGTTCACGCCAAAGACCCGGGTTCGAATCCCCACATGGGCACAATGTGTGAAGCCCATTTCTGGTGTCCCCCGCCGTGATGTTGCTGGAATATTGCTAAAAGCGGCGTAAAACCAAACTCAGTCAGTCAGTCAGTCTTCAAAAGATAATAGAACAGTTATCACATTATGTCTCCATATCCTTGCTATGCTGTGTTGAATGTTGGTGTCAGGTTGTTTGCAAGGATATAAATTTTGCTTATTGTTTAGACAATATTAATCTCGCAATATATTAGACATTAAGATATTTCATCTTGACATAACACGGTTCATATTTAGTCATAATGTGCAGAGAAAGAGAGATTCCGAATGTGATGTGAGTGGTATGTTATTTGTTTGTGGTAAAGAAGAGATGTTGTAACTTCTATGTTGATGCATCTCCTATCAAATCAAATTTGCATGTATCTTTTTGTTGATTATAGTCTGATAATGTGGTGTCTGAATTATACCAGAAATTGGTACATTTTGTTGTTATATTTCAATATTAAGCTTTTTGTGCATATGTGGAATAAATTTACTGGAGATACACAATAGCCTTGTTTTTGAGTTGGTCAGAGGTTCTCTTCTACCAGGGAGACTATATAACGCCTGTTGTAGATTGTACCTGCTTCTACTAAATCACAGGTTAATCTGTACCTGATAGAACGTTCCTGATGCTGCAGGCACCACTCAGGTCAGGCTTACCTGTAATGTAACACTGTTGAATATTCAGTAGATATATAGACAGGTATTTAAACTGGCAACTCAAAAGTTACCCAGAGTTAGACAAATGCCAGACCAAGTCTTACAGATTCATCTTTGCAAAGACACAGTAAATTAAACAGTTTAATACCAACACAACATTTTGGCCAACTTATGCCACTTGTGTACTACACTGTGCAGAGCTAGTACACACCAAAGCCTCATTCATTGGCTGTATTATCCTCCTACAAGTGGATCAACACCTCAACTAGGGGTGCATTTCATGAAAGTTATCTGCAGGCCACAAACCATACACCCCATTTGAGTCAGTCCATATGAGTCGGTACACTTTCTGACTGACGTGAGCATGTGTTTATGAATAAATGAATCAACATCATACTGTGATGGTACCAGGAGTTTGCGGAAAGGTGAGCGTATTGTGGAGCATTGTACCTCATAAACACATGAAAAGGCTAGTCAATTGTGCACTTGAACAAGGACAGAAACCATAGTACAGCACTGAATTACACCGGACATCATTTTTGTCACTTGTGTGTCAAATTTGGAAATGTCTTCCTCTTGGGTAGTATAAAACGTTTTTGAAAACGGAGGCCTTGAAGTTTTTGGCTTTGGTCGGTTGGCCCACCAAACCCGTGAAGATCCCAGTTAGAATTGATCTTCTGTAACTCAGTCTCCTCGTAAGAGGAGACTAACGGGATCGTGTGGTCAGACTCGCTGACTTGGTTGACACATGTCATCATATCCCATTTGCGTAGTACGATGATTATGCTTTTGATCACTGGAATGTCTGGTCCAGACTCGATTATTTACAGACCGCCGCCATATAGCTGGAATATTGCTGAGTGTGGCGTTAAACAACAACCAACCAACCTTGGCCCATCAGCCAGACAATAGAACCGACTGTGGCGCGCATGGGCAAGAAGTGCAGTAAGGCAAAAAACATGCATAGTGACAATTAGTGGTTAAACTCACTCAACATTCTCAAAGTTGGCTCTAGCAGAAGTGATTATCGCCACGAATAAGTACAATATTGCTGATGGGGCTTAAAGCAACATATACACACTCACTCACTCACTCAGAAGAGTTTGGTCTGTGTTCGGTCCGACTGGGTCCATGCTGTATTATATTGCTAGAATATTGCTGAAACCATACTCACTCACTCCAGTACGTCATTCATATAGCTATAGTATGTCATTCATACCTCTAGTAGGTCATTCATACCTCTAGTAGGTCATTCATACCTCTAGTAGGTCATTCATACCTCTAGTAGGCCATTCATACCTCTAGTAAGACATTCATACCTCTAGTAGGTCATTCATACCTCTAGTAAGTCATTCATACCTCTAGTAGGTCATTCATACCTCTAGTAGGTCATTCATACCTCTAGTAGGTCATTCATACCTCTAGTAAGACATTCATACCTCTAGTAAGTCATTCATACCTCTAGTAAGTCATTCATACCTCTAGTAAGTCATTCATACCTCTAGTAGGTCATTCATACCTCTAGTAAGTCATTCATACCTCTAGTAGGCCAATTCAACCTCTAGTAAGTCATTCATACCTCTAGTACGTAATTCATACCTCTAGTAGGTCATTCAAACCTCTAGTAGGTCATTCCTACCTCTAGTAGGTCATTCATACCTCTAGTAAGTCATTCCTACCTCTAGTAAGTCATTCCTACCTCTAGTAGGTCATTCATATCTCTAGTAGGTCATTCATACCTCTAGTAAGTCATTCATACCTCTAGTAAGTCATTCATACCTCTAGTAAGTCATTCATACCTCTAGTAGGTCATTCATACCTCTAGTAAGTCATTCATACCTCTAGTAAGTAATTCATACCTCTAGTAGGTCATTCATACCTCTAGTAGGTCATTCATACCTCTAGTAGGTCATTCATACCTGTATAGTAGGTCATTCATACTTCTATAGAATGTCATTCATACCTGTAGTTCATTCCCTTTAGTACCGTCATAGTAGGTCATTCATACCTGCAGTAGGTCATTCATACCTATAGAATGTCATTCATTCCTGTATAGTAGGTCATTCATACTTCCAATACGGCATTTATACCTATAGAATGTCATTCGTACCTGTAGTAGGTCATTCATACCTATAGAATGACATTTATACCTGTAGTAGGTCATTTATACTTATAGTGGGTCATTCATACCTCTAGTACGTCGTACCTACCTCCAGTACGTCATTCATACTTCCAGTGCGTCATTCATACCTATAGAATGACATTTATACCTGTAGTAGGTCATTTATACTTATAGTGGGTCATTCATACCTCTAGTACGTCGTACCTACCTCCAGTACGTCATTCATACTCTCAGTGCGTCATTCATACCGCTAAAACGTTGTTATGAGGTTATTTATACTCCCAGTACGTCAATGTACAAAACTGACCTCGCCTAGATGAATGCTACTAATGAAGATGCGGTCATCTTCTCGTTGCAGGGCTTCCTCCTGTAGTCATACCAGAGTCCGCTGATCGAATCCCAGGTTCAAACCGATTGTGATCCTTGTATGGCCTGGCAACATCTTCGCTTATCTCGTGCATTTCACTAAAAGTAAAAACACCACCGACCTTCCCCATCTGGCTATTTCCCAGTTGTCTGGATGCAAAGCTGACATGTAGAACTGGAATTTATCCACCCGTGTGGTATACACTAGAATAGGGCTGGGACGGGTAACCTGGATACCCGGGATGGGTGGGTAATGAGTTGGACCCGGGTACCCATCTCATTACCCGGACCCGTTATGATCATTTGACTAATAGATTAAAAAATGTAATATGTTATTCTTTCATGATTAAAAGATTGCATTGTCTTTGAAGATTTAGACATAATCTACAGTCACCTATATATTTTGAATATAATACATGATTAAGATATTGAAAAACTCGAAATTTTAGCCTCCGAGCTGAAGAATATGTTGCCATTTCAGGAATTAACATATCGGTCATCCGGGTAGGGTAGGGTATTAGGAGATGGCGTATCCTGGTAGAAAATTTGGACCCGACCCAGCCCTACACAAGACATCAGATTAAAGAACACAGTGACTTTGGGTTTACCATGTCCCATACAATGATGCTTTAGCGCCAAACGAAGCAATTGCATGTACATTTTCCACAAGTTTAGGCTGAATCTCCCATCTCACTGGGGCTCCTTGTTGGTGTCACAATTATATAACTCCATAGATTAGGCGCTATATTAGTTCGGAATGGAACAAGATTGGCGCATTGATGGGCAGTTAGACATCTGTGGTCTCTGAAATATGCATATTTCACGAACACACACACACACACACACACACGTACACACACACACGTTTTCAATTATCAAATTAAATTGATAAAAACTAGCTATGAGACTCATTTTCAGAAATTCCAGTAAACTAACCTAGCCAAATATCCTAGACATGCATTGGCTGTATTGAATGTGTCAATAACAAGCAGTTTATGCTACAATTTTCTCTGTTTGCTTTCCAGGCTCTGCTGAAAGCAGACATGATTGTACGTGTCCGGCTATATTATGAACATGTGCGTATGTTTGTTTGTTGTTTAACGCCGAACTCAGCAATATTCCAGCTATACGACGGTGGTCTGTAAGAGTCTGTACCAGACAATCCCGTAACTGACATTTTTAATCCTTCAGATTATAACCTACAGGGCAGTTTTGGTTGGTTGGTTGTTGTTAAAACGCCACAATCAGCAATATTCCAGCTATATGGCGGTGGTCTGTGAATGATCGATCCTGGAAAAGACGAGCCAGTGATCAACATCGTGAGCATCGATCTGTGCAGTTGTGATACGATGGCATGTATCAAGTCAGCGAAGTTGACCACACCACCCCATCCTCATGCCAACCCTTACGACAATCATGCTTGTTGGTGACCAATTCGAACCGGAGTCTTCCCCGGGACTGTGTGTATGTGCGTATGTGAATCACTATTAAATAGGATATGAATAGTTCAGTAGTCGCTGTGCTAATTAATATTAAAGTGTGATGGAGGGTGGGTTGAGGAGGGTAGGGGTAAAGGTCATGATTCGATTCCCCATGCAAGTAAGCTACATCTAGATGTAGGCTGTACACGAAGTCAGTTACTTGACATATATATTTGTATAATTAACAGAATAAATTGATACAAAGAAATTAACCTAAAAGGAACCCAGAACAGTTCTCAATTTCTGGCCCAGGAGCTAGCGTTGCCCTGTGATTCATGATTGTATTTGAACTCCCTTTTTAAAACATGACAGACTAACTGATGGCGTTCGGGTACGTTTTTTTATGTCATCAAAATGTATCATCCGATATCCATCACACCCAAGAAGTCACTATCTCTCAGGCTTTTGCCGAACTTGCCCAGGCCCCGGGGTCATGAAAGTGACTTAAGTCTAAAAATTGCTTACGTCTGTCATTTTGATCTTAAGTTCAAAATATTGTCTTAAATCGGGGATCACGTACATTTTTCAGTCTTAAAAGTTAAGACTGAGATAATTTTTTGTCTTAAATCCTGAGACTGCTACCTACCAGTCTTAAGCCCTTTTTGATGCCGAGTTTTTTTTCAGGCGCACATTTTCATAAGGTTTGAAAAGTGAACGTTGTGCGAGATTTGCGCTCGCGTGGTCCTGGATCTGCGTACAGCTATAAACTTACACAGAAATGTGGCATATTAAATTTCCTATCCGTTGGTATAAATATAAATGCAAATACCTCGGCGGTTTGAGAAATAAACACTGCTGAATGATGTCCAAAATTTTGCTATGCGTCATGATCCCGGGGCCAGATCGATAACATTTGCTGTTATGTATTGCACAATTAACATACACTGTGGGTGTAAGCACATGGCTCATCCCTGAATCTCTAATACAATGTGACCCGTGAAGATCCGGGGTAGAATAGGTCTTCAGCAACCCATGCTTGCCACAAAAGGCGACTATGCTTGTCGTAAGAGGCGACTAACGGGATCGGGTGGTCAGGCTCGCTGACTTGGTTGACACATGTCATCGGTTCCCAATTGCGCAGATCGATGCTCATGCTGTTGATCACTGGATTGTCTGGTCCAGACTCGATTATTTACAGACCGCCGCCATATAGCTGGAATATTGCTGAGTGCGCCGTAAAACTAAACTCACTCACTCACTCTAATACAATGTGCGACTTGAATTTGAACGACTGAAAAAAATATATATTGAAAAAACAAACAGAATATAATAAATTTATGTGTACTGTTTTTCGACCTTGAATCTGCGTACTGAATACAATGGTACTACCCCACCTCTGAATACTCTCAAAATAGACCCCAACACCAGTGTATGAAATAAGGCCCGTCCGACCGCCCGAGACAGTCTAGATTTCTGACGGACGGTCTAAATTTACAGCTAGCCAGCCCTATGGTCTTGTAAAAAAATTTGATCGTCCATACATCTGAGTAAATTCACCATATTTGGTCTGGTTAAATCCATTTTGGGCTGGTAACATTTTGAAGTTACCAGCCCTGATGTCTGGCTGGATTTTTGGCTTATTTCATACACTGCCAACACTCTCGTACTTATTTTAGAATGTCACATAGCGGTATTTCCGATAGCATTCACACGATAGATGTCACACGAACCGATAGCGTTCAAGGGAGATAATCGAACAAACACTCTTCTGCAATGGAGATTCATAAATGTGTCCGGGGAACACTCGAAAAGCAAATGTTGTAGTATTCGGAGAAGTTGTGTGACAGTCCTGAAAGATATATATATGATTTGGAGAGAGGGTACAGACGGGTACGATGACAAAAACACTTCAACATTTTACCATGAAATCAGAGATTGTTACATGGGCGGTGAGAATAATATCTCAGACTAAAATCAAGTCCCAATCATACAGTGAAACACGCCCACGATTTCCGATAGTGTAATTTGACAGTGTTGACCAGAAACGAAGCAAATGAATCAATGAGATTCCAGGATGGTGACGAGAATATTTTCCAATGTGGTTGCAGATATTGACAAAGATCTACAAGGGAAATTTCCCACAGACTTTGATTATCATGCAATGGTGAGAAAAGTCAGCGAGGACGCTGGGGTGGAGATTCAGACAGGGAATGGTGGTGATAGTAAACACATTTCTCTGCATGGTGTGTGGGTCGCTATGGAGAAGGTCCATAGCCTGCTTGCTACAGCATTGGCAGTGTACGGAGCCAGAGTGGTCCCAAGGAATACGCCTTCACCATCACCCACACAAGATTTTCACAGCCAATCAAGTGTATTTCTAAAATCTGGATCATGTACTGCCGCAGAAGAAAACCACATTTCACAACAGGACACACTCACTCCAGTTACCCAAAGTAAGACAGAAGTTACTGCATCAAATCATGATAGGATGGAACTAAAGGGAGAATGTGACACAGGTGAGACTGTCATGAAAGCTAAATTTAGAAAGCATGTGAAGAAGAGGAAAGCAATAAAATCACTCACGTTACCAAAGTCAGAATCAACTGCCACTAGTACCACAACAAAAAACCATACACAACATGTAACAGACTTCACCAATAACTGTTCAGCTGATGAATCTGAACCTGAAAATGTTGAAAGTATGAACATGGAAAGTGTTGAAGCGACCGAGCAGTCGGTCAAGCGGAAACGAGGACGTCCTAGAAAGCATTCTCCTGGTCTTCCAAGTCAAAGAATATTCACCAAATTCAGATCCAAATTCAATCACAGGAAAAAGTATACAAGGTTAAAGCGAACTATACATGATGATGGAGTGAAATTAAGTAGAGGAAGGGGTCGACCTCGAAAGTTCCCTGAAGGAGATCCAGAGGAATTTCCTTGCCCTGAATGTGATTTTGTTGCCAAAAATCGGAACACACTTGGAGATCACCGGCATAGAGTTCACCTTGCTAACCCAACCAAATGTGATATATGTCACAAAGTCTTCCCTAACCGTCGGTACATGAAGCGTCATCGTGCATCTCATGTTGAGCCACAGCATTGTTGTGATGTTTGTGGGAAAATGTATAAAATCCGAAAAGCAATGCAGGAGCATAAGAAGACTCACGAGGAAGGATACTCGAGGCCGACATTTCAGTGTGGTATGTGTCCAAAGTCATTCTGTAGTAATTACATTCTTTCATGCCACGTGAAATCTGAACATTTGGGTCAGAAGAAGAGCTTTCTGTGTTCAGTGTGTGGCAAGAGCTTTACAACTAAACATTCACTGCAAGAGCATTCAAATGCTCACACTGGTGCTAAACCTCACATATGTGAAGTGTGTGGTAAAGGATTTTGTTACGAATCTGCGCTACGAGATCATAAATATGTTCATATTGGTGCTAAGCAATTTATCTGTGAAATTTGTAGCAAAGGATTCAGTCAAAGATCTGGTTTAAAAATGCATATGAGAATTCATGAACAAAAAAAGCAGTTTGTGTGTAGTGACTGTGGGCGTGAGTTCACACAAAAACAAGCTCTTCAGAGACATGAGAGGGTTCACAAGGGAGATAAGCCATTTATATGTAAGCTGTGTTCCAGGACTTTCAGTGATGCTTCAATCATTCGTCGCCACATGATTTTGGTTCATAAAATCCACAAAGATGCCAAAACATGGAGAGAAGACATAATATGCAAAGTGCAAGGGGCTCTGAATTACCATGTTGAGAAAATATCGGAAATCGAGGAAAAAATTGATCATCAAGATTCAACGGCTTCTACTGAGATGGATGTTCTTGCTGCAGCAGCTAAGGCTGTAGAATTACCACTGGCAGATGGACCTGGCTCTCCAGAGGTGGTGAGACCTTCCAACTCGGGGTACAGTGTGTACAAATCTGATGTATATGCTGATGTTAGCCTGTCGAACCCTGGTTTACAGGAGGAACATAGTGTTGATCAGTCAGGTCACAGAAGCATCCATCCTGCTTCATCCTCCTCATCTCAGTGGTATCCTTCTCTCAAACCAGAACTCAACCAGCTGCAGAAGCCGGACTTCACTCATGATAAACATGATTCCAGCTCCTACCTAGAAACACCGCACACAGAACAGCAGCATTCTCAGACAGCCTACATAGACACCCCAAGTCGGCCACACAGCCATGAAGCTTTGCAGCAGAAGAGTCAAGACCATGAATTACCTGTGGAAGGGCAGATGGGTAGAACAGATAGTCCTGCACATCCGTATCTACCTCTCCAGCAGGATTCCAGATTTACCAGTAACCATAACAACCGCTACACCCATGATGCACATGTTGACAGAGGTGCTCAGTACACAACAGATACCTGCCAAGATGGCAGCAGTCTCCATGCAACGTTTGTGTCTGATCCTGAGAAAATTGACAACTCGATCCATTACCCTGAACCCTCAAACCGAGGAGACAGAGTGCCCCACTATTCTTCAGTGAACCGAGACAGAGGGGTCAGACAAGCTCAGTACCCCCAGGAGAGCCCAGATGAGCGACCCTCCCCCTACCCCCCAGACACTCCCCCAACACGGACTGACCCATCTACATCTGGCAGCAGCAGTAACAACTTCCCTACCTCGCCCCAACCATGGCCCTCCATGTATGCATACTATTCTCACCTTGCCAACCAGTTTGGGATGACCCTAAGTGACTATGCTTACATGGCAAATCCAGGGAATTCTCATCAGTAGTGTTTGCTATATGTGTTTACTCTCTATAGTGTGCTATGGTGGAAATCCACAACTAGCTACTGACAAACAAGGATACGTTGAGCACCGACCTGACAATTGACCCGAATTAGCATGTATGAGTGCTGCCCACTGTCGCTTGCCATTGTTAGCGAAGGGGCCCCAGGTTGTCCGCGATCAAGTGTAGTGAGACTTTCTTTACCGATGTGAGAGTCTTATGAGCAAGGCGTGTGCAGCTACGTGCGGAATCAATTTCATCATCATGTAATGCATGTGCACTAGCCTACATCTGCTCTACCTTTCACAAACCAAATGGGTTTGCTCATTGCCGTGCACCGCTTACTTCTCGTAACGCGTTCTCTGCACTGGTCCAACTTATCCTTGTTTGCCAGTAGCTCCTAGGTTGTAAGTGATTGTTAGTAGCGCTTCTTCTTTGTCCCAGTCCGGTTCATGATTATAGTTAAGGAGCTTCTCAGTTTGATGCCCAGTTTCACTAAAGACTAGATGTTGTGATTTGTGAATGTGTAATTTTTTAAAACAAAACTTAGCAATATTCCAGCTATGTGATGACAGTCTACAAGAAGTCACGTCTGAATGAGACAATCAAATTATTGACAACATGAGCAGTGATAAACACAACTGGTGTATGATGATGACAATGTCAATCCTGTTTCTCTGCTCCAAGGACAAGCTGTGGTTACCAAAGTCCCAAATGTAAATCAGATGTTAACAGGTTTGTGAATGTTTGAATCTTAGACAATGTGTGTTTCTTAGTAGGGTAATTATTGATTGTTACATTGATCAACATGTCAGAATTGGAGTGAGCGTACAAAGTGGTATTTGAATGTTACACATGTTATGTTTGGGATTACACTTTCTTAGTAAAGTACAGATTCTTGTACTTTTGTTGGGTTGAGTCACATCCAGGATTTGAACACACACTCTCAGAGTCAGGCACCTAATTGCCAGCACGCAAAGTCAGACGCCTAACCTGCTCAACCACCACAGCTTCATGGTATTTGAATGCCTAGATGCAAATTACAATGTCTGCCAGTTTGCCAGACCATGGTTCCTAGGAGAAAGTTTCTTTGTTTTTATGTATTTCACACCTTAACTGTTACTGCATGTTATCTCTCATCCTCTTCCCACAGAGGTTACTTGTCATATCTTCCTACGAACATCTGTTCTAATACGGCCATATTTGCCGGTTCTCCTAAAATCCCCTAGCGGCAAAAAATTGCAACACGAATTATGTCCCTTCTTTCTATCCAATCAGAGCACGTGTTACGTTGACTTAGATCCAGCTTGACTAATGCAAGTACAACGAGGGTGGTGGAGACGCCATTGATCCGCCATTACATGACTGAGTTCTGTCTAGAAGAAATGTTTACGCATTGCACAGGGGAAGAGGTTCTAGTATTCCTGAAGCATACAAAAATTACAGAGGCCTTGGGAATGATCACTTTTGAAACGGCATCGCTGATTGCACAACTAAATCTGATTGCAACCAATCACGAATCCTGAACATCTCACCATGAAAGGGTTGCATTAGAACAGAGGTTAGTAGGAAGATATGACAAGTAACCTCTGTGGGAAGAGAATTGTTACCTCTGACTTCCCAGACACTGAATTCAGTGAGTATGTTTCACAGCGAATATCAGAAAACTCTTTTTGGTAACTTAAGCTAAAGAAAATGTTTCAGGGCCAGATCATGCCAATCTGGACAGGGCAAGTTCATTCTCATCCTGGTAACTTCATACTCACCATGACAAGTTTATACTTATCAGGGTGAATTCATGCTCACCATGACAAGTTTATGCTTATCAGGGTGAATGCATGCTCACCATGACAAGTTTATGCTTATCAGGGTGAATTCATGCTCACCATGACAAGTTTATGCTTATCAGGGTGAATTCATGTTCATCCGGCCAAGTTTCTGGTCATCAGGGTGAGGTGATGGTTATGGGCTCACTCATCCTCATCTACGCAAGTTTATGCTCATTGGGGCAAGTTCAAGCTCACCAGTGCCGGTTCATACTTGTCTAGGCCATTTCTTGCTCATTGGAGCAAATTTGTGCTCGTCAGAGCAAGTTCATGATAACCAGAGCTTGGTCATACTCACGCTCATCTGAACAAATGTTTTATGCTCATCAGAGAAGGTTCATACTTTTCTGGGCAAGTTCATGCTCACCATTGCTTGTTCCTGCTCAATGGAGCAAGTTTGAGCTCATCAGGACCAGTGAATGATTGTCAAAGCCAGCTCATGCTCATCAGAGCCAGTTCATACTTTTCTGGGCAAGTTCATGCTCACCATTGCTTGTTCCTGCTCATTGGAGCAAGTTTCTGCTCATCAGAGCCAGTTCATACTTTTCTGGGCAAGTTCATGCTCACCATTGCTTGTTCCTGCTCATTGGAGCAAGTTTCTGCTCATCAGAGGCAGTTCATGCTCATCAGAACCAGTTCCTACTCATCTGGGCAAGCTCATGCTCTCAACACCAGGGTAGTATTTCTTTATTTTTCAATACCTGTACCAGGTGCAACCAAGTGAATTCATCAGGTTCCAACATCAAAATATTGGCTGCACAATAACATTAAATTTTATTCCGGTTATTGATTCATCGCAGCCAGTACATGCTGATCAGTGCCAGTTTGTCATTTGAAGTCAACATGACTAGTGCAGCTAACCAATACTGTATGGTGGACCTTTCTTGTCCTGCAGGTAACAACAATGTCTCTACATACGCAAGTACCATGTAGGTGATGGCACTGGTAGGCTGATCATACTGTTGCTGGTTATTTTATGTTCAGTCTTATTTATTTTCTGTTTGAGTGACTTGTTTTAACAATATGTTTTTACATAACTTGTTGTCCCTTGAGTGTGTTGAATCTTGATGAAGTTCATTTACTGGAATCAAATACTTTCGTGAAATTATAGACAAGAATAATACTAATTGTCTGACAACTCATCCTAACTTGAAATTTGAATGATTTGTACATTCCAGACTTCACACAGCCATTAGCCTCAGACTGACATTTAGTCAAAATAAATAAGCTTTCTTATTTAATAAAAAGGTATTTAGTAATTTACTAAAGTATAGAGCACAAGTTATTATTTCCCTACAGCTGAGGCAACATAGACTTGCCCAATCATTCTACACTTGAGTTGGTATTTCTTTTTGAATTTATTCTCTGGGGTCCGGGAGACTTTCTCCTAAAATCTAGCTGTATTGTATTCAGGGGCCACTTCTTTGACATGAATTAAGAACTATATGAATATTATCTGCGAAGTCTGTCCCTGGAAAGTATTGTGAATGTTTGTTGTACAGCGTGGTGAATTTCTGGAGTAGGCTGTACCACCCATCAGTAACACCTTGACTCCTTGTCTTCAGCTGTGATATCCTTCTGTGCAGTGCTTACATCACACACAGTTGTTCCACTTACTCCATTGCTCTTCCATATTCACTGAGATGGTGTCTGAAACATAATTTGTGTTTTTTCAATTTGTAGCATTTTGACAAATGTTTATCCTTGAAGAAAAATATTTACAAAAGAACCATTAGGCAAGACCAATTTAATTTCTTTCATTACAAATTTTTGTCCTCAGAAAACTTAAAGGCAGGAGGGGAAAAAAATCACCAATCAAAGCAAAGACCCACATGAGTTTTTCAAAGGCGTTGTTTTTCAAGTTCACACTCACTGAGGTGCTCAAAACACTGATTTGTAACACAAATATTGAGAACAGATACCAGTGTTTTAGTGTCCAACAAACTGCCATGCGTAGTCGAAGGATTCTATTTTTCGAGGGGGGATAATGTATTATTTTTTTCTTATTCTTGAAAAAATACGACCAGCAGATCCGTAAAACAAGAAATAATATTGGTCTGGCCCTAGTTTCTAACGTTGGACACATGGTTTTGTAAGTGCTGAAGATGTAAATTGTAAGTTCAACAATTAATTTAATGCATACATGATAGAATATAAACAATAATATACATGAAACTATTATTTTAAGGAATAGTATTGAATAAAGGTTAAAATTAAAATAGACCTTCAATATTTCTCTGAGTTCCAGAGTTTGGGAATTGTCTGGATCTGTTTTAATGGATCTTCATGCTAATGGACTATTGCACTTCTGGATCAGTGAGTGATGTTTTTTTAACATAAATGGATGTATATGTTGATGTGACTGGTTTTGATTGTGGACATTTTTATTCTGTTGTTAAATACATATAGTATTTGTATGTAAGATGTTTTTACTCTTAAAGTGAGTAGTTCACTCTACTGCTATGTCAGCTCAACATAAGACCGTTATTTAAACATTTGTTGTATCAATGATTTGTTTTATCTTAGACAAAGTTGGAAGAGAGCATACAAATTTTTAAAACAGCTGACAAAAATCATTCCGTGTAGAAGGGGGAAAATGTATGAAAATTGTTTTGGGGACACAACTGCGGGACGTTTTTTGGCCAAGGGACATAAGGATTTTTGCGAGCACTCATTGGCTAAATAATATTCAGTGTAAAAATAGATCTGTCTTGATGATTCTTAACGGGTTTTTTTATTTCATTTTTAACATGTAGGCAAGATAAACATGTGTAAAGTCTGATATATTTTTTTCAGTTTTGAAGAAACAAGGTTCACAGATATGTGATCCAACAGATCACAAACATACTGTTTAGTTTATGTTGACATTGTATTCATGGGACATATTTTTGTTCATGACTGTATCTGTATCACCATGTAACACATAATGCAGACACATTTGTTGTGGTCTAATCAGATGCATAATGCAGGCATTACTGTCTTACTGATGATGTCTTATGGTAGGTAAGTAATGCGCTCTTATCAACCTTTTACAAAATAACATTTAAGATGCATTCGTAAACAATCTGTCACTAGTTGTTATTATAAAACTGAATGTATATATGCCAAAGCATGTCCTTCAGAAACCATATATGCTTGCTGAGTTGTGTCCCTTGGGGGTGCCAGGATTGTGTGTTCAAATCCCAGATTTGCCCTCATTATCCTTGGTTATTGCTTACATTTATCTTTCCTTCATGGTAAGCCAAGATATGTTAGGCAACTGTGTAACTGTTCAAAGGGAGATAACCCCATATCACTGACACACACACACCTGGAACTGGAATGTTGAGTGTTAGATCTGTCTCC